CTTTATCATCGTTCTTTATGTTACATATTAAATTTTGTCAATGAACAACCTTCGAATGAATATCTCGACAAATTTAATCAATTAATTCTTTCAATTTATTCGAATATGTCGGCATGTCAACTAATCTATGGAAATTATCAAAATGTTATTGAAAACTGTTCTTCCGCTTTGGATATTGACCCTAATTATGTCAAAGCGCTGTACCGTCGAGGTTCAGCATACGGAAATCTCAATGATTATGAATTAGCGATGAAAGATCTTCAATTAGCTAATCAATTGGAACCAAATGATAAGAAAATTGAAGAATCACTCAAGTCGACTAAACAACGTTTGGAACAATATAATAAAACATTAGGAAAATCATTGAAAAACTTCTTTTAGGAGAGAAAAATTCTCAATCGATTATTTATGCGAAGTTATTTCTTTTGTCGTTAAAATCTCGATTTTTTCAGATGATTTTCATTTGGATTTTATTCATTGGTATAACCAATGTTATGAGCGAAGATTTCTACTCATTTACAGTCAAAGATTGGCAAGGAAACAATGTTTCATTAGAACAATATCGCGGAAAGGTTAATTCTTCATTCAGACTTAAGAAAGAAAACAGTTTTTTTTTCTTATTTTTAGGTCACATTAGTTGTCAACGTAAGTTTGGTTTTCTTGTTCAAAAGAAAGAAAAGCAAAATATAAAGCCTTATTTGTGGTGATGATTATTATCAGCGGAAATGATTGTTCCTTGGTTTATCTTATCTTTGTTTGTAATAGGTTGCGAGTGAATGTTCATATACGGATTCGCATTATGAAGCACTTGTTGGCATTCAAGAAAAACTGAATAAAGCAAATCGAAATGTTTTTCAAGTACTTGCTTTTCCGAGTAATCAATTTGGAAATCAAGAACCGAATGTAGACGATTTCTATCGGGAAGATTTTGGGAGTTTTTTCTTGATTGTTTTAGAGCGATCGACATATTCAAGCTTGGGCAAAAGATATGTTCGATATTAATTTTCCTATTTTTGCCAAAGGTGCTGTTGTTGAAGAAGAAGTTGAGAATGCAGATGAATTACCAGATGTTTGGCGATTTCTTAGTGGTAAAATCGATTGGGTTGATGTTGTTTTTGAAAAGTAGAATGATTTGATTTAGAAAAAACTGAACCACCCAATTGGAATTTTTGGAAATATTTAATTGATCCGAATGGAAATGTTATTCAAGCATATTCTCCACAGATTACTGTTCGTCAAGTTTATCCCGATATAAAAAAATTACTTTTCAAACACAATCTCATCGATAAATCGGAATTATAAATGAGAATGTCTGCAAAATATAGAACAACGAGTGTGCTATTTATTCTTTCCGGTTGTTCTGTTATCTTATACTCTAGTCGTTCTATGTTATCATGCATGTGTGTGTGACTTCGTTTTTTTACACTCAATTATGTTCATGTTTGCTGTTATTTCAATACAATTTTCTAATGATCTCATTCTTCGAATAAAATTATTCTATACAACTGGAAAGTTTGCTCTCTTCTAATGAGAGAGATGCTCAATCAGTGAATATCTCTTCTTCAGATTGCAAATTACGATTGCTTGCGATGACATCGAATCCTACTAGTCATTTTGTCATTTTGAAGAATCGTCCAGTTGTTCAGAGTAGCGGGGATATCAGTTGTGGTTCATTAAAACTTCATTATTGGGAATGGAAAGGCCACCAACCAACGATTCTTCTCTGTCATGCAACCTCATTCCATGGTCGATGTTATGATCCTATCATTAATAATGCATTGCGGGGGCATCATGTCATTGCTCTGGACTTTCGAGGTCACGGTCGATCACAACAACATCCACCTCCGTATCGTTTCCCATGGTTTGGTGAAGATGTTCTACATTTTATTGAAACATTGAACCTTTCGAGCAGGGATCTGATCGGTATTGGACATTCCGCTGGTGGTTATGCTTTAACGTATGCGGCAGCAATAGCGTCGAAACGTTTATTTCAATATTTAATTCTAATTGATCCCGGTATAGTTCCACATTCAACATATGGTCTTGGTAATAAAGATCATCCTTCATTGGAATATATTCTTCGTCGAAAAACTCAATGGTCTTCTGTAGAAGACATGATGTCACGATTGGAGACACGTGAACCATTCTCACGATGGCCGAAAGATACACTACAAAGTTATTGTACATTCGCGCTGGATGAAGATAATCAACTTCGATTGAGTGCACAAGGAGAACATTCAATGTACCAATCGTCCATGCAAAACGAATCAAATCTGTTTCCGATCATTGAACAATCGAAATTTATTCCATATACTCCGATTTATGTTATAAGAACAGCATTACCATTGATTATAGGTCGATTCGATACATCGCCAACCGAACCTGATCTTGTCAAGTCGTTCAAACAGGGATCGGAGATATTTTTAGAAAATGCAACGCATTTATTTCCTATGGAGAATCCGCAACTACTGAACGATGTTCTTAACAGAATATTTCAAAAGAATGAACTTTCGAAACTTTAAAACATTCGCCATACGAATACACTGTTTCATTATCTATGCATTTTAAATTGATATTTTGTATTGTATTCATTTTTCTTCATACATTCAAAATAATTCACAATGTGATTATTCATTCTATTCTTCGACATGTTCCTCTTTTCAGAACGAGATGATCTCTTCTATTTCACACACCTTTCGACGAATGCTGTCGTCAAATCCTACCAGTCACTTTCTCACATTAAAAAACCGCCCTGTAGTTGCAAACAGCGGCGAAACAAAAGCTGGCTCTCTTAAATTACATTACTGGGAATGGGCAGGACATCAGCCAACCGTTCTGTTTTGCCATGCTGCTTCGTTTCATGGTCGATGTTATGATCCTATCATTAATAATGCATTGCATGGGCATCATGTCATTGCTCTGGACTTTCGAGGTCACGGTCGTTCACAACAACATCCACCTCCGTATCGTTTCCCATGGTTTGGTGAAGATGTTCTACATTTTATTGAAACATTGAACCTTTCGAGTAGGAATCTGATCGGTATTGGACATTCTGTTGGTGGCTATGCGTTAACATACGCAGCAGCCATAGCACAGCAACGTTTGTTTCACAGTTTACTTCTAATTGATCCTGTGATTATCCCTCGTTCGATATATGAACATGAAAATATTGATAAATCAACTACGGATTACGTTCTCCGACGAAAAAATCAGTGGTCATCTGTTGAAGATATGATATCACAATTGGAAAAACGAGGAACATTCTCTAAATGGCCAAAAGACGTTCTTCGTAATTATTGTATTTACGCTCTGGACAATAATTGTAAACTTACTTGTTCGCCTGAAGGTGAAGCATCAATTTATCAGTCTGGTGTACATCCGGATACGAATATTTATCCATTAATTGAACAATCCAAACACATTCATGACATTCCAATCCAAATTGCACGAATTTTACCCGGTGAATCTGTGCTTGTATTAGATCAATCTCCAACAGCACCTGATCTTGTGAAATACTTTAGGAAAGGAAAGGATTTGTTATTAGAAAGTAGCAAACATCTGTTTCCAATGGAACAACCGAACATAGCTATCAAACTAGTGAAAGATTTTATCAGAGAAAATCAATAAATTTTCTTTACTTTTCAAGCTTTCAACACGGCAATATTGTTTTGTACCTGTATTTCATCATGAAGATAATATTCTTATAAGAATTAAAGTAGAAAATTTCAATTGTTACTACTTTTGAAAAAGTATCCAACAAGATCTTTTTCTATATATAATCTACATGCTTTCATGGACGTTCTCTACCTTTTAGAGATACAATTGACGTCTATATGGAACCCCTTTCTAGGAGAAGAATTTTTCTTAATATAAATAAAAGTTGAGACAGTCGAAAGTACATCAGTGCAACAGTAACTGTTAAAAGAAAAAAGAAAATAAAACTGTACTGCACTGAGTCATCAATAGTTCATCTTTGTATGGTAGTCTCTGAGGCAATCAACGATACACAGAGGTACATCGCAATCGGGACGGATATATCGTATATCACTATGAATATTATGTGATGCACAAACGACGCATTTTCTTCGAGGTTGGTTTGATTGTCATGTTTGTGGAATAAGTGCAAGAAAATGTCGACCAGTTATAGACGACGAAAAGAATCTCCTGTTGATGGTCTCCCAATCGTAGTTGATCTTTGTGGTCTATACTTCGTCAAAATTTGTCTGATTACTTCAAGTCGAAAATCAGATAGATCAGAGGAAATATTGTTCTGCATTTTGTGAATAACAAATGCATTATATACTGCCATATACAAAACATGGAAAAATAGCTTATTGTACCATTTTAGTGACTGTATTGGAATGTAGTAGAATGAGAGATAGTGTCTATTATCATACAGAACGAAAGAAAGTGCATAGACTATTAATATGTATGATTAATAAGCAGAAAAGGAACAAAGAAGGATTACTCTAGAGTCGTACCATCAAATAAGACGAATGAGAGGCGTTATAAACAATTAAAAACTATGTCAGAAGTACCTTTGTCACATAATTGCACTTATGGACGCATATATGCGTCGCCGGGACTCAAAGGGTTAATGACCATCAAAGCGATTAAAATATTCTGCGTCAGATGTGTTATATCTGTAATCAGACGCATGATCTTGTCAGAGTTAGAAACCATAATCATACGATACAATACAATTCAAAACATTCCTTCGGTATTATTCCATTTCATTAGTTATTATTAGACGGTCGATCAAACGTCTTTTTTCACAGCAGAACGTTTCTCATTGAAATTATTGAATCTATCATTCATATGTTTGCATATTAAAAATAATTTTATACTTTTAACTTGCATTGAATGACAAGAAAATGTGCGTTAACTGATAAAAGCATACATAATACGCATACGTCATCATAGCATGACAATGCACTTTTGACTTGCTCTATATAAATAAGTAATCGTTAGTCTTGTACATGAATTTGGAATATAAATAAATGGCTGCAAAGAAACCGATTGCGGTAGTTATTGGTAACATACTGATGAGAAATATCGAATAATTGATCAATTTTCATTTTTTATACAATAGGTGTCGGTCCAGGCTTAGGAGCATCATTGGCCAGACGGTAAATAATCTCTTGCTTCTTCCTATTCACTGCTATTTTCGGTTTTGATTGATTTTTTGCAAGATTTGCTACCGGTGGTTATTCTATTGGACTCATTGCACGAAATGAAAGCAATTTAGAACCATTACAAAAAGAACTTGAACAACAAGGTCATACAGGTTGTCGTCTGTTCTTGTCTTCATATGCGCTTATAAAGAAGAAGAATTCTGTTTTTCTAGTTTTGAGTGTGAAAGGTGATGCAGGTGATGTTTCATCGATCAAAAATGCTTTCAATACCATTCGAACACAGCTTGGAAACGATCCAGAAGTTTTACTTTACAATCCAAGCGGATTCGTTTACAGTAAATGACTGAATTTCATTGAATTACATTTTGAAATCTTTGTCTCTATCAAGAAAGTATTTTGGATTTGAAACCGGAAGAACTTCAAAATTCGTTGAATATCAGCGTCGTTGGTGCTTTAGCAGCTAGTCAAGAGGTAAGTCAAGAGAAAATGGCATGAGTTGCGAACAAGATGTACTTTAGGTTTTGCCGGCAATGGTTAAAAATGGAAAAGGAACAATTTTATTCACAGGTGCCACAGCCAGTCTTCGCGGTTCATCGAAATTCGCGGGTCTCGCCGCATCAAAATTTGCTCTTCGCGCTTTAGCACAATCAATGGCACGTGAGTTGGGTCCACAAGGTGTACATGTCGCTCATGTTATCATCGACGGTCAAATCAATACGCCTCGACAAGTTAAAGGTAATACTTACTCTCTATTCTTTTGTACGAAATCTATACTTTCTCTTCTTAGGTCAACCTGACAAGGATATCGATTCGTTTTTAAACAGCGATGCGGTATGACTGTAGATGTTCCTTTTTAGAATTAATCTATGAGAGTTTCTCTTCTTTTTTTCAGATTGCTGAAACATATTGGCAATTACATGTTCAACCTCGGTCAACATGGACTCAAGAACTTGATCTCCGCCCATATGTAGAGAAATTTTAGAACTTTTTTTTTTCTTCAAAAAATAAAACTATTCTTGAGAACACTACTTGAGATTAAATAGAAATATGAGTATATCGCTTCTCAACCAATTCGACTGTCAAATTGACGCCTCAGATGACATCAACTGTAGAAATTCTTTAAACTATATACACAATTAAGATGTTATAAATAACTCAATTTTAATATTTGTCTCAGAACACGAGAAAGTACTCTGATAAAGTTCCCACTCGACAACAATGACGTCAAACTGCCGTATGCAAATTTCAGACCGAAAGTACGTGATTCAAGGTGACATATTCTAATTTAAGCGGTACTGGTGCGACTTCTGACAGCTACATATCCCTAAAGAAAAGGCGTTATTTCCCATGATATAAACACTTCAATCTCTTGTTAATGGAATATCTATTTATCTATCTATCTATCTATCTATATATATCGATCAATTGTGTAGTAAAAACCTTGAATGAGAAGAATACAAATGTTAGTTTATTTTCATTGTAATGTTATTCATTCATTGCAACCTACATTTGTATCTTAATTATACACACATCGCCATAAACTAATGAACTTTTTGGCACTGACACTACGCACATTTGCAATTTAAAATAAATTCAATGAAGAGAGTGTTATTTTATGTATATAGAGCCACTGCTCCTCTCTGGCAAACTGTCATACAAAGAAAATCTGTCGTCATAGTTAAGTTCAGGTAAGTTCAATAGATTGCATCGACTTTTTTCCAGTCATATTACATCATTGTTGTTGTTACATCTCTATAACCATTTCTACTGAATCAACCCTGTCAAATTACTTGTCATAATTTTCTCAAGAAACCAAATTGACTGAGGATTTCCTTTTCTACGTGTCAATCATGGATCTGTTCAATGTAATAGACATCGAACTGAGTATCTGTTGATTATACCAAACGAGCAATACTTTCATAGATCATGAATATCATGGCATATGTCATCGTCTTTGTGCCGAAAACAAGAAATTTTTCGTTGAAATTGTGAATGACACCAGGCATCCGATAAGAATTTTTCACACGGAAGAGGAAAGGATGCTCATGGTTCCTGCGATTTCATGTAGAAGAATACAGCGGATACGCCGCTCCTACTTCCTTTTTAATTAACAGATATAAAGTAAAAACTACTACTAAAGAGATTACTAGTGTCTCTTTAACTGGGATTCTCTGGGCAACAAGCGAGATTGTTTTTTTACTCAAATCATATTTTCATTATTCACAGTTTAAGTCTGCTAAGTCATGCATAAGCTAGTGAGTAGAAGAAAGCATGCGTTCAACAGATGTTTTCATTTCTCAAAAATCATGTGTCGTTGAAATCTTCTAACAACTGAGTAAGTCGTGTTTAGAGCGAATAGGTCAAATATTTTCTCGCCTTGAAATTGCCATAAATAGTAATATTGCCATGATCGTCGATAACAACTCGACAGGACTAGTACTTATTTTTTTTATCAGGTATCGTTAGACGTCTGATTGAAATCTACAGCTGTTTGTCAATACGTGGGAGGCGTGGGAAACAGGCTGTTTCAGATAACTCATTTAGATTTGCATCGAACTAAATTAGATGTTTTTCTCTAAAGGATGTGTTCTCCCTCTCTCTCTCTCTCTCTTTTTCTTCACAGAGTCTTTAACTTACATAATAGCTAGGAATTTTTCCATTTTGCTTGACTTGCATTCTAGATAATTGTCAATTGATTAACGCTTACCACTAAGTTTAGAATAGTCTCTGTGAAAACATTGACAAGACATCTGCAGAAGTCGTTAACAAAGGTATATTTACACATATTTGTATGTTTAATTAAATTAATATTTTATAATAATTTGTAGACAAATTAAACTCGTCGATTGACGTCAAAGATCGATCAATAAAGTGGGTGAGACTTCTTTACGAAACAAAACAATTGTTCTACGTATTTTTTTCTATTTAATATTTACGCTCAGGTATGGAGGAAACAGAAATTAGTAGCAAAATTATGCACGATTTTCCTATCATTGAAAGAACATAACATATCTTCGATAATGACGAAAAATCCCGTGATAAAAAGCGACTTCATCCACGGAAATTTATGTCTTAACTTCTTTCACATTTTTATATTTCCAAGAGAGAGAAGAATTGTTCTTTACTTTAGATTAATATTTTTTATTCTTGAAATACTGCACCATGAACTTCTTTACTATTGTTTTCTCATGTATTTTTATGTTAACAATTAAAGATTCAATTTACACTTACCCATTGACTGTTTCTACTAAGTAAGTGTATCTCATTTATCAACAAATTTCGTTGAAAAATCGTCTTTTTAGTCTTGCTAATCTCTCACCTAGTCAAATTGATCAACTTTGTTCATATGTTTCACAGTAAGTTGAAAGAAATCTTTTGAACTATCTGTTTCAAACAAATTTTCATTAGATTACCACAAAAACAAGAACCCGCATCGGAGACAAAGACTTCAACGTACGTTACCCATGAATAACTCGTTAAAATTTCATTGAATCCCTTTTGTTTAGAGAAAAACGCTTTGCAATGCCATTTCCTGATATGAATCGTTTTCTATCTACAAGTCATAAAATTCATCATAATCATGATAATGAACCGCTGACTAAAAGCGGAACGGAAACGAGTGGTTCCAAAAAACATGACTTTCATGCTTACTTATGCAGGTAGTCATGGGGAATTCTGAATGCGTATCAAACTCGACAGAATATCTGTTGTTTAGTATAACAAAAGATTCGGAAGAGATGACAAATTTTATCAGTGTTTTTATCAAAGAGCATGGAGAACCGCCTGCGTTCAATCTGTTCGAATCATGTGAAGAAGTTTCGAAACGGTAAAGAGTCATTCGAATAGAACGAAATCACATCGTCTGGTTTTAGTGATCTGTCACAATATGAAAAGAAGGATGAAATCTCTGCAGTTATTCGTATCAATGAACTATCGTATGTGAATATTGTCGAAACAGTTTCGTTTTTGTTGAAGGAAAGTGTTCTTCTTTTTTTTAGGCAATTCTGCTTGAATCGTCCGCAAACACGATTTTCTAAACGCTGGAAACATTCGGTTGACGGGCCGATTTCAATTGATTTCATTCATCAAATGCTCGAATCTCGAAAAGTCAAATCGTATCCATATCCAGCTGAAATGGATCCTTATCTCGTGTAAGTCGCTGTCTTCACTCATCGCAGAGATCTTATATGTTTCCTTTCTAGCGGAAGATGAACAATCAAAGGTAGAAAACGACGTCGATGTTATGGTATCTATACGGACTGTTGCGTTTTATTTTTACTTGTTTAGATATTTGAAAAAAAAACTATGAAAGAGACCGCAGCGATGATCAGCATGTTTGTGGTCGGATGTTTAATAAAACAAAGATTGTTGAATGGCATCTGCAAAGCTCTTCTTGTTTATTTTCACTATGTGCATATGAATAATGAGTTCAATTCTAATTATAAAAGAATAAACAACGAATTAAAAGCAAAACCTTCGTTCTTATCATATTCTATTTAAAAAAAAAAAGAGAAAGCTGATTATCTTCAATTAAACGAAGATATTTATATCTTCTGACTCGGCCTGCTTCACCACGAGTGAATCGATCGTATCGCCCAGCTTTTTTCCTTTTCTCTTCTTCAGAAATGCATCTGTGACCAACTATTGCATTTGTATGTTAGATATTTCTCGGAAGAGAGTGAAAAAACTATGTTCGGTCTGATTGTTTTATTAATTACATTAACTCTAATCACGCACAGTTGTTGTGACCCATCAACAGCGAATCTTTACATTGATGAACAACAAGAACAATGTTCACAACAATCAAATGACGATTCATCGTGTACCGATGGAAAGGTTAGTTGATTTGATTTTAGAACTTATTGCCATCTATTGTAGAAAATGTTAATGGAGGAATCTATTCCGAATAGCAGTGGATCGATTTCATTAGTTTGACGATACTGCTGGTGTACACGTCAGCACGTGTATATATTGTTGTCCTCTAGCCAGCTGAGTAGACATTTTATTTTTCTTTCTTTCTCGTCTTTTCTATCGCACTCCGAACCCTCCACTTCGGTTTGTTTTTTTTTCTCCAAGAGAAAAGGGGTTACACACTTCTATAATGCTTGTTTTTCTCTCTTATATTCTTAAACTTTCACTCTTTGTAAAAGACATTCTCTAAAGTAAACGTTGTGATGAAATGAAAATACAGGCCGATCATCAGTGGAAGATTTTGTGAATAATTTGAAAATTTACTTGTAGATTTTCGATCAATTAACGTCGTCAAACCTTCATTCGGAAAAAATGGCTGATGCTACTGAACGTTCATTTATCATGATTAAACCCGATGGTGTTCAACGAGGACTTGTCGGTGATATCCTCCGCCGTTTTGAACAACGTGGTTACAAACTCGTGGCTCTTAAAATGATCCAAGTAATGTTTTCCTCAGATCGAATTTGTACTGTGAACACAAACAACTTTCTTTTTTTAGGCCCCACGAGCTTTACTCGAAAGCCACTACGAAGAACACAAAGGCAAGAAATTCTACGAACCACTCTTGTCCTACATCGGCAGCGGACCAGTCGTTGCTATGGTAAGACGATGCATTGAAGTTACGCTTTTAGAAAAATACCGTGTTCTGATCGTTGTAGGTTTGGGAAGGTTTAAACGTTATTACAGTTGGTCGTAAGATGCTTGGTGCTACTGACCCGGCTAAATCTGAACCTGGTACCATCCGTGGTGACTACGCTATTGTTACCGGACGGTAAGAAAGTGAATTTTTCTTCGAAGTTTGTTGACTTATCAGGATTTTTGAAAAATTTTAGTAACATTGTTCATGGTAGCGATTCCGAAAAAGCCGCCAAACGTGAAATTGACTTATGGTTCCGTCCAGATGAAATCGCTAACTGGCCACACACTGCTGAACGATGGATCTATGAATAAGCGACTTGAAATTCAACTGGAGCAGACAAAAATTTAGTATATCTCAAGCTTTTAGTTTTTTTTCTCTTATACAACCAGTTTTACCGGTGTCACCTTTCTGTTTGTGTTGTTTTCACTGTCTGTATTCCAAAAAGTGAAAAGAAAACAAGAAAAAAACATCTTTAGTATAAAATCACCTTATTCATCATTCATTTACATCCAAAATTCAATCGTGCAAGTTTAAAACTAAATCTTGTATCTCATCGAGAGAAAAATACCTAAAAGGATGTTTTTCTATTATTATGAAAATAATTATCATCCAACAGGGAATCATTTCCTACATAAAAATTCATCATTACCTCACAGTCAATGTCATGAATGGTAAGAAACCAGCGTTCATGTAGTTTTTCATCGAATTAAAGTCTTTGAACATGATTCTCGATGATATCCCATAGATAGTCGCAACACAACTTCCATTTTCTTCATAGAAAATCCACAGGATCTACGTGCGTCACAAAAATTATATTTGCACTTCGAAATCTCGAATGTCCTTTGAAATTCAATCAACGAATATCTCTCCACGGTTACATAAATCACTTAACTCTTGATAAAACACTTCTGCCATATGAAATCGTACATACATAAATCGATTTTGTTGTTCAAAACATTCGAATGCATCTAATAAACATGACAAAATCATCGATTCTAACGGCACTCAATCAACTGATAACGAGAAATTTATCAATCACTTTCTTTCAACAATGTTCGTTCTTAAAACTCGCATATCTGTCGGTCAAGAGAAACATACAATCGAATCAGTTTCTCATGAACAACGAAAAAATGTATCCGAATCGCGAAATTCTCATGTGATATTCATTGACAATCTGATTATTCATCATTTTGTTCAGATAAATCGAACGATTATTTAACCAAAGGATTAACTTCTTGCATATTTGATATAGTTTAAGTGCTCATCTCAATAACAACGACAATAAAATCAATTCTTCATCGTCGTCTTTCTTCGTCTTCTTCGTTTCAAAAGGCCTTTGTTGTCTCAATAGCCTTATAAAAAAAAGAAGTTTGTCGATTTTATGATATAATTCTCTCTCTCGTTTTTATCGTCTCAGCTGTCTTCATATTCGAAAAGTAAATAGATCACCTGCGTTAAGTAATATAGCTGTTATCATTGTGAATTATCATTTTTCTCGTTCCTTCGTTTTCATAGCATATCTTCATTGCACGTCTTTTTCGACTTTTTTCTCTCTCTCTCAGACAGAATCAAATATTTCTCATACATGAAATAAGTATTCGTTTCGTTTTTTATCCTGAAAAACCCACACGCACACATTTTCATTTTTCGTGTATATCTGTGTAAGTAAGAGAAGAGAAAAAACGCGAAGGTTAAACGACGACGACGAAAAAAAAAGCGACTGACTGTCATCATCAGAGAGAAGGAGAGAGAGAAAGATTGTTGTGCACTTAAGATAAGACTCTTTTACTTTGTATATGTGTGGTGAGGAATAAATATATCATGCGAGAGAGAGAGAAGAGAGAAGGGTGATAAACGAAATGCGACGACGAACAACAGATGAAGTAGTAAGTTTGGAAGATGAAACGCTTGTTGGAAAGTTTCGAAATGTGGCCAGTTCTTGTGATAGTCCTCAAATCGAGATTGAATGCATTTTTTGAGATTATCACGAAAGCTGGTCTCACAAGCGTTCGTTCAATGTTTCGTTCCTAGAAAACAACGACAAGTTCGGTATTTTTTTTACTATGAAATGTTTTTTCTTTAATAGGAACCTGTACGGGTTTTTGAATGAGAAGCGCCAGCCGTTTCTCTGCCACTGGTTGGAATCTCTTCAGGTTCTTTGCTTTTGAAAATAGGTTCACGACGGTTTCTGAGCAAGTTTTCAATCTTTTCGAAAGCCTCACATTCGGAAGTAACGAAATCATTGCGCTAAAAGAGAAGCAACAAGAGTACTTAAAGACGGTTCGTCTTTTCGATTTACCTGTAATTCAAGTCGAAGAAGACCTTGACTGGGATTCACCGGGTTCCCAGCTGATGAAGAATTTCGTGCCGAATAGTTTAAATCAGCAAACGTCTTTTGATATCGTATTGCTTGAAGAAAATGTTCAACTCCTGTTGCAGATATATGATTTTCTATCGAAATGAAAGACAAACTTCATAACTTTGAAAACAAGTCATTTTCTACTTGTTAGATTTAAACTAAGTAAACAACGGTTTCCCGGGAGAACAAAATCATCATCGACTAGGACGGCATTCGGATCAAGTAATGGAATACCTTCGCCGAGATTGAACTGTAAAAAATTGCAATAGTCATAAAGAAAATATAACATCATTGTGCAAATATGTAAAGCATAAAGAGTTCTGATAAGAAAGAAGTTGAGAAAGAAAAACGAAATGATTTACTTCAGTTTCACTTTGTGTCGCCGAACGATTTCCTGCGTTCTTATCCGAAGCTTTCATTGTGCTCGATAGTTTCGAATTTTTTTCGGTACTTGGTTTACCAGCCGGGCCTTTTGTCGTTTTACTAGCAGCGATGGTTGCGTTGTTCTTCGCGGCCTTATCTTCTTTTTTTGGCGCTTTCAAGGTCTCTTTACCATCAGCCTATTTGCGAAAAAACAATGTTTGAATAAAACCTTCCAAGAGACAAACTTTGCCGCCCGTTGTACCCGTTCCACCTTTGATTTTGGCGGGTAGTGTCGCAGCTGCCAGGCCTGATTTTTTTCTGGACACACCTGTTGGACTTGAATTGAACGACGTTCGTCGATCTCCTCGCCGCGCTGAATGAGCACCAGCGGCGTGTTCTGATGATGAATATAGAATTAATTTTCTTCGATAGGCCAATTCTTCTTGTGTTAATGGAAATTTGCTGAGTACTTCAGCGAGTTTTCGAGCACCTTGATCAGTAATGTCATTAGCACTTAAATTTAGCACAAGCAAAGTTCGATTAAACCTCAAACCTTGTGCGATATATTCAGCACCGATATCACCTAATGAATTGTACGCTAAATTAAGTGTTTGAAGTTTTTTGTTTTGTCTTCGTTCATTTCCTAAACCTTGAGCAATCGATGCAGCGCCACGCTCGGTAATTCGACAATGTCGAAGAGATAAATTTACAATCGGAGAGTTATCATCCATCAAAAGCACATCGTAGCGCTCGAGTGGAATCGGATTATTATCGAGAACTAACGTGCGAATGCTTGGACATTTTGGAAGGAAAGACGCTAATTGTTTCAGAGTGTCATCAGTAAAGCCGGTATGCCAAAAATTAAGTGTATGTAGTCGATCTAGTGTTGGAAAGGATTGAACGAAGAAATCTAAGATTTGTCGATCAATTTTCCATCCGTGAATATGAATTTCCGTCAAAGTATCTTGTTTATCGGGATTTTCCATTTCTACTTGGATTTTCGGTTTAAAATATTTGAGATGGTCACAAAGAGTATATGTTTTAGGTATCGCTTCCTCTAAAGGAAATGTTTGAGTAGGAAAAGAGAAAGATATTTAAGATTTGACAAACCACGAGAGGATTCTCCAAGATCACCGTCCGTATGTGATTGTTGCTGTTGGAGGGCAGCGGCGGCGGCGGCGGCGGCGGCGGCTGCTGCTGCTGCAGCTTCTCGTTCTTTATTGGCAGCTGCTTTCGCACCTTTTGGAGCCGCCTTGTCTTTGACTTCTGCTGTTGATGAAGCTGCCATTGGAGTTCCCGGCACTCGTGCTCGTGTAACAACTGGAATCATAAAAGTAACTTGTGCTTGTCGACATAGCGCATCGAAATCTTCGATAAATTTTCCTTTGCAATGATACGGTTCAGCTAATAAACAACAATAAAAAAAAACAAGAGATTGAAATAAATATTTCATTAATTGAGAAGTGCATAATTATAATTGCTTTGTGTTTCTCTTTCCTGTTGGAATAATTAATACCTGAGTCGGTCTTTTTCGCAGCGTTACTTGCAGCATTTGCTGCTGTCGTTTTGATACGTGCTGCTTTGCTTGTCATTTCATAATGAATTACAGTGAAATCGTTAACAAGACCAGAAGAAAAATTGAAAAAAAAGTTTTGTCGAGTTTGAAGTTAAATGATTGAAAGAAGGAGAGAGAGAGAGAAAAACTGTTGTGTGGACGACGAAGGAACAATGTCATTGTTCTCGTCGTTAACAACGTCAATAAGCAAACGTGAGTGAGAAATGTTGTTGTTTGTGTTAAATCATTTCAATTTTTTGCTTAGTTTAAGTGAGTCAATGGAAGAGAATGAAATGGAGAACGACAAGTAGAAGAAAAAGACTTCTTTGAACAAATCAAAGAGTAACAATCTTCACCTTTTTCATCACTTGAATCATCATGGATTGTCGATGTTGAATAACGCTTTGACAAACTTTTACGTTGATGGACACTTCTTAAACACAAAGAACAAAAGACAAGATGTCCATTTGACAAATTAAACAACTGATGATTAGTCGTAGTGTTGAGCCGATTTTGTGTTCATTACTTACTTCGGTGGCATTTTTTTTTTGAAAAGAAAAGTCAATTTTTATTTCTTTATAGAGAATATGAAATAAATCGGATCAATTTATAATCACTGTTCGTTTACACACTTCAACAACTTCACTTTTCGTTTATAAAATCAAAATTTACATATGAGACATTAGTTATTCTGCCATGAATCACCGTCATGTTCGCCGATGTTTAATAATGATTCGAAGTCTATTGAGCGAAAGAATTCTAAGCGATGAAAATCAGGTTTAACACTATCGCTCGGCGCTGGATAAAGAGATTCATAAGTTCGTTGGTCATTTTCACCATGAATAGCATAAGCATTGAAACGATCAACATGAGCGGGAAATAACGAACGGGGAATACGTGCGCGGCCAATCCATCGAGTTGATGAAGGTCGTTCGACTTGATAAAATGGTAATGGTAACATTTGTTTCAATTCTTTTCGACGATCGAGTAAGAGAAGAACAAGATAATGACCATGAGGAGAAAATTCTAATTCAAGATAATGATTTGTTAATGATGATAGAAAGAACAGTTCTACGACTTCGTAGTTCCATAGTTCGGGATATGAACCAGGTGTCGAGGATTTTGTTGGTGGAGCTGGGTCGTTGAAAAATGGCGCATCGATTTCAATTGCGAGATGATTTTTATCATCGGTGGATAGGAGACGAATTTGAACTGGTTCATGGGCAGTGATTGGCACGGAATTCCATTGGTTTTCAATCGAGAAATGCATCTTTTTCGCGCGTTTGTTTAATGTGAATAAAACGCATAGAACTATACCACTTAAGATAAGCAATTTGATAAAATTCTTCTTATCATTGACCATAGAATACTTTTCTAAAAATATAATCGATTGAGAAGAATCCGTATACGTTGTATTTATTTACACAGAAAGAAAAGAATTTCTACGTTAAGTTAACATTTTAGTATACGTGGATAAAGATCGATTGAAATCAAACGCTTTTTTTCTTTTTCTTGCAGAAGACTTCGAAAGATTTAACAAATTTCTCTTTTTGAATAAGGACTATAGGCAAATACCATACTGAAGCATATGTAAGGGAAGCGAGGGCGATTAAATTGAGTCAATGCCCGACGTTGTTCAATCGACTACAATAAGTTATTTTTCCGAAAACTGACATCTCTGATACATTTCTTTGCTCGAACGAAAAACAGTTTTTAGTAGGCGATCATTCGTCAGAAAGTTACGAATCGCTTTTCTTTTCCTTCGGTTCCACAATAAGAAGCAGAAAAGAAATGATACAGAGTAATGCGTGTTTTGGTACTTTTGTTGATTATCTGCAGACTATTTTACAGATACAGATACAGTAGTGGTTTATACGGGATGAAATAGTTATTGGATAAAAATCTACTGGAAATCTTTCTATAATTCTGAAGTTCCGAATAAGAAACAACAAATTGATGTTTTTCTTTATTATATTAAGAAAATATCAAAATATACACACATGGAAAACTTGGTATTTTAGAAATTTATCAGATCTAAGTCGTTTCTGTTCCTGTTTAGTACTTAAATAAATATAAATAATTAATCTAATCAAGGAAAAACAAAGGAGAAATCTATGTTTTAGTTTTTTCTAATTCCGATTCTAATTCTTGAATTCTCTTGTCTTTATCTTTTAAGGTTTCTTGCAATTGATCAATAATCATCTGTTTTGTTAAGCTTTGTCGTTTTCGAATTCGTTGTTGAATCTCTTGAGAGTATTTCGCTAAAATTTCATCCACAGTCAATCGTTTTTCGCTTTCAATCTGCACTAGTTGTTCAATAAGACTTGTCTCGAATGGATAATTTGCTGCAAATGTTTTGCCCACTTCCATATAATCACGTAAATCCGCTAGGAGATGACATCGTTCGGATTCCGTACCAAAAATATTGAATAATTCAAAAAGTACAATTCCTAAACTGTATGAATCGGAATAACATGTGGCAATACAATGACGGGAATTCAATTGTTCAGGTGGAGCATATAGAGGTGTGCCAACACCGGCAGATTCGTCCATTTGAAAGTGTGGTGCTGAACTTGGTGAGAGTTCTGAACCAAATATTGTTGTTAAACCGAAATCACCTAAACGAACATGAACAGATGATTGATCTTTTGCTTCGTATGAGAGAAGAATGTTTTTTGGCTTAATATCACGATGAACAAGTGAATGAGAATGGAGATACTAGAACATATTGTATCGATTAGATGCGAGTTTTTTAAATCGATTCATCGAATTTACCTGAACTGCAGATAGAAGTTGTTTGAATATATGCCAACATTCGTTTTGACCTAATTGATTCAATACTTTGGGCACACCGGGTGTTTGGTCAATAATTGCTTGATCGCGATGACGTAGCCAAGTGTATAGAGTTGTATCACACGATTGCATCTGAATGAAAAGAACAAGTCGAGAATTGATGTTCTCTGATGGAGCAGTCGCCGCTGGAATAAGTTGTTTTTGAGCTGCTTGAAATGGAATTAGTTGCTTATTAGATGAACTTCCATTAGATATCGAGCGTTGATAGAAGACTTGCGATTGGCTGAGAGATGAACTAGCACCATCTGACTGAGATTTACGGTGACTACGAGTATTAGAAGGTTGATTTTGTTGTTCCAAATCCGATGTCTAAAAACAAACGAAAGTCTTCTCGTAAAACCAATGGAAAACAATCCATCTTTTACCTCACTGGTATCCTCATCAACTTGTGATGTTGATGAATGATTCAATTGCATTTCATCATCCGTTGCTGACGAAAGCGTGCGTTTAAATTCGATTAATTCATCTATTGAATCTGAATGATACTTATGCGGTAAAGATTTTTGTTTCTGTAAATGTGGTGATGCTGATCGCGGTCGATGCAATGATGTTTCACAGGGAACTAACTCCAGCCACGCACAATGGTATTGAACGATATTTGGATGGCTTAGCGATGCTAAAACTCGTACTTCACGTAATGCTATACCCGCTTGTCGACGTGTTCGTTCTGAATTATCTTTGAAAACAATCTTCTTTATTGCATAAGTACAATCATCCAAACGATTTTTCGCACGAAAGACTGATCCTAAAACGAACCGACAATAATAATGAAAACTTCTCATCATTCTCCTTACCGAAAGCACCTTTGCCTATTCTTCCAAGTTCATAGAAATCTCTCGCATACCGCAATATCACAATATTATCAAAACCATTTGAGGAAGCCGTTCCATTCATAGCTAACGGTAATGGAACTTTCAGTTGAATATCTGGTTGAGGGATGTCGATGCTTATGTTTGAAGGTGGCGTTACTGGCGGTATTGGAGTCGTTAGTAAAATTTTGGCAAAATCTCTCTCTAACATACTGACAATCGTCGGCCCATCTGTTGTTGATGGAGGTTGTTGAATGATATTCAAAGCTGTTTGAATTGCTGCCTGTAAAGTTCGAACATAATTCCTAACAAAATCTAACTGATTCACAGCCATGGCTGAGATATTCATTGATGATGGAAGGATTCCACTTGTTGTTAAAATGTGTAATAATAATTGAAATAATGGACGTGATTTTGTTGAATCATTGTTTGTTAATGTTAATGAAAGAACTTCTAACGATGCAAAGAATAGTAGTTGTAAGGAGATGACCTCTGATTGTTTTAATGGTGACGAATGATTAAGAATTCGAACGGGACCACGATCGAACTGCGATATTGTATTATTCGAACGTGAACTTCCTTTCGATGATTTTGATTTCGATGACATTGTATCTAAAAGGACATGAGATGATAATCAAATGTGTGTGATTTTTCTCTTTCTGATCAAGTCAAACAACAACAACGAACAAGAAAATAAACTAGAAGTATTTTTCCTTATTTTTTCTCTTTTTTTTTAATGAATAGATAAAATAAGATCCATATTGCTTTTAGTTTTCACGATTCACTAAAACGAAGAAGCCAAGAACAGCTAAGACGAAATATTTCAATTGCGGAAAGTCGTTCATTACAATCGTCACCATGCCAATATATGGAAGAAATCTAATCGAAGAAAAGTGAACATGATTTAAACCAAGTATGTGAAGAAATACCCTCGAGCACGACCAATCACATCCTTCTTTTCGAGCCATAATTGTCCTGGAGAATAAAGACCGCGATCGTCGACTTGATTATTGTCACCTTTAGTTAAGAATTTTACGTAACCGTCATCTCTAAAAGATTCATGAGAAAGGCTTTGGTTTGTGAACCACAAGGAGGAAAAAAACAAACTTTTCGTGGACTTTTAGAACTCGATGAACAATTGGAATGTCTCGGCCTTCAATTCGGAAAACAACAATATCGCCAGCGCGGATAGGTTCTTCATGATAATTTGTAAGTAAAAGAAGATCACCGCGATGAAACGCAGGCTCCATACTACCACTAAAATACGTAATAGTATGCATCAATATTCGATCAATTCAATTCAAATAAACTTACCTTAGTACAACGACAATTGGACTTTCACTACCTGTTACAACCATAAGTCCTTTCCATATCATCAAAGCGGTGGAAACAATCATTCCAAAATTGAGTACTTGGTATATAGCCTAAAGCAATGATTATTACGCGCTTAACCGATTGCATTCATTCTCGTTACCTGTCGTTTATTCATACGTCTAAAATAGAAATCAAATCGGATTATTAAATGACTTGGAACCAATGTCTTCTTATTACCTAATATCGTCAACGAACGAAAAGAGTTCCATTTCAAGAGTCTTTTTTTTGACAAATTCGTTAAATCTGAAAAAAGAATATATATTATATGTTATATGTCGCGGTTGGTCTTCCGAATTTCACGAATTTTTCCAGTATTACAATCGATTACAGCAGTTTTTCAGAAGAGATGAACACCTTTCTATCTGGTGCATTACGAATAGATTAGAACGACAACGAATCAAAAGGGAGACTATTTCTGTTAGATTGCCGCTAACGACATCTACAAGTAGCCTGTCGTTGGCGTAGTTTTACTACCTTTCATAGAAAGTACATCTATTCATTTGTTTCGTAGTTCTACTTCTCGATAATCGGGAGACCTAGCTCAGTTCTATCATTTTGAAATACCAATTTTTAGTATCATCGTTTACCTATAAATTTTGTACAAAAATATTTTTTGCATTGTTAGAACCGACAGAACTACCAGTGTTACCCGAGGTATGCTAGTTTTCGAAAATGTCGTAGAACAAATGGCTAACTGGTTCGATTTATGAAAAAGATCAATATTTTATGAATTCTAGTGTTTGACGCAACGCCTTAGTTGTATTTTTAAAGCGAATGAATGTAATCAGCACTTGGACAATTGTTTTGGAAAAGGATTCGCAAATTCGAAGTATAAGCGTTACTGATTTGCTTAATAAACTTCGTTAAAAATCATTCGAAATGAATTCTAGTAAATGTATTCCTCGACTCATTGAATATCCATCAGTAAAACACTTCTTCGCCTAATAAATGTAATATGCTTGTTCAGTAGCAACCTGTGTATTTGATCAAGAGAACACATAAATATTGCTCTACAGTCAACTATGTCTCATGTAAGGAATACAAATGGTTCATTCTTCTCTTCCGTACGAATATGCGTTGAAAGGACACGCTTGATTGATTACTTGCGTTCGTATAATGAGTAAAATGTACACAGTCACATTTTGTGTATATAATTCAGCAGAACAGAGGTATCCTTCAACCAGGCAACGTTTCTCGCAGAATATTCATAATGTATTGCATCGAAATTGTTTTCTTTTTACTATTAATTATCCCAATTGTAACAATGAATGAAAAGACTACCATTACTGATGAAAAAAGCGAAGATGATGTCGTTGATACTGCTACCTCAATGTATAATCTGACTCAATTAGCTGGAATGCTATTTAATCAAGAATCTAACGCAACTTGTGCTGCACATGGTGAACCTTTGATATATTTGTTTACTAGTCCATTATAGTATCATTCATTGATGTGAAGAATATCTTTGTAAATGAATGAGATATTTGAATAGAAATATTGTCAGAGAAATCCGAAATACTCGTCATTTTGAATACCACGTAGATTAGATTTGAATTGTTTGTAAATCACGTTAATATATGAACAGAATTTTTCAGATACTTTTCCTTGCTGTCGTGGTACAGCTAATTCATCTATGATGTCATTTCAAATATTTACTTGAGCAATTTGTTCTTGAGTGAAGACCGTGAGTGTACTTGAAAAAAGGTATTCTTGTCGTTCGATCTATTCATATGTGTTGTCATCGATAAATAAAAAATGGCAATGGTTATGTCTTTATGAAAACATAGAATTTCTGATTGAATATTTCTCGGTTTTGCTCGTTCATCTTTCTTGTCAACATAGAATATTTCATTTCTCATATACATTGATTAATGAATCGATAGAAATAGTCGAATAAATGTATTTTTATGGTCGTGGTAGAAATTATTCAATTTTATGTTCAACATAGAACATCGAGCACGAATCGATTGTGTCAACAGAAGGAAACGAAATAATCGATCAGGATCTTTCTATAAACTATTCAAGTCTCTCATCATCAACTTCAGTTTTGAATGAAATCGCAGAGGAAATCGAAATGTTAACATAATTGAAGAAATATTTGGTGAGATTTATTCATATTCTGTGTGATGATCAACTATTGTATTTCATTTATAATGTCGAAAGAACGACACTTAATAGTGGATTGAAAATTTATTTATATGAATTGTTCATTTTTCATGTGATCACCAATCCTATGAATTTGAAGAAATCTTTTTTATAGATTCGAATAATAACAGATTCAATGTTTCATATTAATTGAGATTGTTCGTATTTGTCATCATTTCAGTGCATCGAACATCTCGACAGAAATAGAAATCGAACGAACGAAATATTTGATGAGAATTTTATATGTAAAACAGACAAGTATGCATATGATTTATGAAGAACTTCACACCTGAATGGACTGATTATTTTTTTCCGCAGAGAAACAAGTTGATAAAACAATCAGATCGATACATTTTTTCATTGGAATTTTTTTTAATAACAAAAAACATTTTTCTTCAGAACACAAAGAAACATCGAATATGTTTATTGCTCATCTTTTTTGTTCTTCGCATGTGCTTGTTGCCAAAGAGCATTTCTCATCAATCTTGTCGATGCTTGTTTATCAATTCTTGAAGCTGTTTGTCGATCCACAACAGCTTTCAATTTATCCATATAAGATTTCACGCGTTCTAATTCACTTTTCAATTGAGTTTGTTTAGGATCAACGCCACGTGTTCGTAGATACGCCCACATTAACGAATTTAATGTGTACGTTGCTGTGAGATCGAATCGTGCTTGATCGACTGGAGTTAAACTTTCGTGTAAGGTGGAATAGGAAACAGAATCAAGACGGGATAGGAAAGTTTCTAGTTCAGTTAAGGAATTTTCGAGTTGGGTCGCACGAGCATTGAAGTCAGCTTCGACATCAGAGTCTGGTTGATTTGGTTTCGTCGTCATTTTAATCGATCTGAAATAAAAACAAAACGATGAACCCCAGGCAAAAACAATAGTTTTGTTTAAGAAAAAGTTCAATAAAATAACGAGAACAAAGGAAATCGTTGATTAATTTCGTCCTCGGCCACGTCCGCGACCGCCACCTCGTGATGAACCCCTTCCTCGGCCACGCCCACCACGACCGCCACCTCTTCCGCGACCTTGACCACGACCACCTCTTTGTCCGCCGCGGCCTGTACTTGGCCGATTTTGCATATTTGTTATATAAGTAACTGTTTTTTGGATTGTTTCGAGGAAATATTCGTGACAAAGTATACAAGCTGATGTTAAATTTGTTAAATCGGGATTTTTCTCCTTGAAAAACAAACAGCTAAGTCATTATGATCATTCTGTGTATCGCCTACTTTGTTAAATTCAATATTGACTAGAGCTGTATCGCATCGTTTACAAAATTCTCCATCTTTCACTGTAACTTTTTGAATTGCTTCGGGTAATGTCAAAACAAATGGACATCTAAATCGATATATTTTACCAAAATGAACATCATTTCATTCAGTAAGTACGTACTTATTACAAGCAAGTCGATATTTCGGTGCGGATGATATATCTAAGACAAAAACACCTTGCTTACATATATAACAAGCGCAGATGCCATTATGACCGAGTGAATATCGACACGTTGGATGTGTACATTCATTACAGCCAGCATTTTTATGCATGTCGTTGAATGGCGGATTGTTAAAACAATAAGGGCACAATGAAAAACTCTAAAGAAATTCGTCGTCATTGAATGAAACGACATGCCGGCAGAATGATTTACTTTGCCGTTGTTATTTCCAACGAATTGAACCAGTTCGAATTCATCCAATGGACATCGAAGTTCTTTGAAGCCTTTGATCAGACCATTCTGTGGAAGATTGTAAGTTTCTTTACATATTTCACAATGTAAACGGCTTGGTCGAGATTCAATCAATTTCATATACCGACGACATTTTCCACATCTAGAAGAAAACGATCAACTTCAATGCAATCGCAGGAGAGAAAGTTTAGTCTACCTGGCGAATGGTTTCCCACTAGCAGCTAAAGATGAAAATGACACTTCGAAGAGTGAATCCATTCCCAGAATATGTTGAACAAAATAGTGAAATTTTTGTTCAAAGATTCGAAGGACATGTGCTACGACCTGTTTATAATTTGCACGCCCCAAAGCAATCTAATACAAAGCAGAGTAAATTCTCATTTACTTATTCAACTCAACTACAAACTTCATTCAATTCTGTTTCAACAGATGATCTCATATGTGGCAAGGACAATTCTGGATCAATCTAAATCATCAAACGAATATTTATCGTAAAACACAAATCCTTGCATTTTACCTTTTGATAACCATGTACAAGCACAATGCCTAATGATGTTGGAATCAAACGACGACCATTATCGACTTTGACATAATTTCTTTCGCAAATATTATTAATATGAACAGGAATACTTGCATCAGTACCGATACCATGTTTTTCCATCATTGAGATCACTTCACTTTCGGTTAAATAATCAGGAGCTGTGGTATGTCGTTCATCTAACTTCATATCTTCAATGGTAAATTCTTCATTATTGGTGAACGTTGGTATGGGATCATCATCGGATACACGTTTCCAAGGCATGATCGAGGTAAAACCGGGCTCGATAACATTCTTTCCAGATAATGAGAACACTTCATTTGCTGCTTCGAACAAAACTGTTTTTTCCTCATAAATACAATCAGGACTAACCTATACTCGTATAAGAAAGAAACAGACATGTTCACTATTGAAGTGTGCAAAGTCATACTGTGGCAATAAAATGACGACAGACATAATCATATAAACGCCAATAATCACCGCCACCAACAGCTGCTGAATTCGCTGATTTGACAGGAGTGATCGGAGGATGATCACCGACATCTTTACCACGTTTTGGCGAAGTAAATTGTCCTTCGGAAAGCAAACTTTTGATATGATTCTGCCAATCCGAACCCGAACAGTTCGACAATTCACGGATGACACCTCTGAATTGAATAATAATCTATTTACACAAGAAGAAATGCTCACGAAAATGTTTTACTTAAGATCGGCATTATCAGCATATTGTGTAGTTTCTGTACGTGGATAACTAATATAACCGGATGTATAGAGACGCTCAGCAATTTGCATAGCATGATGTGGACTCATGCCTAAATGAAAGTGAATGATTCGTGTTTCGAATGAATATATCAATCGTACCAAGACCAGCGCTGGCCACTTTGAGTAACTCAACTGTATTCAAAGCATTTGGACGACCTTTATGTTTCTTTTCTGTTTTGGTAGAAGTAACTCTAAAGAAGAAATGGCATTTTTTGATAAATATCCAGTTTCGATTTACCGAATTTTATTTGTTGATTTAATAGTATTCAGAAACAGGTAAGCGATCTCTTTATCAAACAGATGACCACGGTCCCAATGGAGTTTCAATGTTTTTCCATTTGAATGCTTAATCTAGAAGGAAATCAAACTTCTCTCAAAAAACTCACAAATAAAAATTTACTTCAGCGGACAGTAACCAATAAGGTTCTGATTGAAATGATTGTATTTTATCATACCGGTCAACACAAAAGCCGAGCGTGGGCGTTTGACATGGTCCATAAGATATACAACTACTATCCAAATCTCCATATTTTCCCTACGCGAAAACAAAAACTACTCAGAGCAAACAATTTCTGATGATTACTTGAAAATATCGTGTTTGAAAGCGTGTGAATGCGCAACCAATTCGCAAATCTATTTCTTGTCGAGCTTCAACTGATAATGATTGATTTTTATCCGGATAGCCAAGATTGTTAAAAGCATGGCGGATGTCCTTGTCGGTAATCGAACTAAATTTTGCTCGAAGAATTTTCGCCTACAAACAAAACTTTAGGAAATTTGCCGCATTTAAGTCCTTTTAAACGAACGTGTTGATTGATCGACGAGCCAATACAATCAATGACTTCGAAACAAATATTTTCTCCTTCTTTATCACAATCTAACCACAGAATGACCACATCTGCACCTCGCGCTTCTTTCTCCAGAAAATTCGGCATACGATGATTGGGCGATGCTTCTTTTTTCAACGTTTCACCAGCAAACAACTCTGCCTAGGAAATTCTTTTATAAAAGATCGAAGAAAAGGAAACATCTTACTGGATCAACTTTATCCCAATTATTATATCGCGGAACGAAATCAATACCAAAAACATGACCAGCTACGGACGTCATACGAAACCGTGCGGATGGGTTGGATTGATATTTTCCTGTCCATTCATGAATACTACACACGTTATTAAATCCTTTTCGTGTTGACAATTGACCATTGGAAAGAATTTGTGAGATTGACAAAGCCAATGAAGGCTTTTCTGCAACCATAAAGATAATCATTCTTTTTTTTTTGGAAAGAAAAGTTATCTATTTGAATTAAAAAGAAAATCTATAAAGATCGATTCGCACGTTTTGTTTTCACTCTTTGTCTGTTGTTTTTCTTAAAAACACAACAATGGCATCATTTTAACAAACAAAAAGAAAAGAAAGAAAAGAGAAGGTTGATGTTCTTGGCTAAATCTTTGCTTAATTGACGTTTACATATTCTTAATAATATCGTCGATTTCTTCCTTTTTAAATAAACGGTAGCCTTTGGCATCGACAGTGGCCATTTCAACATTTGTTGCATTTAATTTTTCTTCCATAACTTGTTTAAGAATTGTTAAAACATGTTTACATGCTTCAGGTAATTTCATTGATTTATGATAAACATCTTGAAGTGTTTGATCAGCACCTTCACTACCCGATCCGATCGCTTTAGCGTCGTATTCGGTATAAGTACCGGATGGATCAAGATGAAAGAGGTGAGGACCATTTTCATCCCAACCAGCAAATAAAAGTGCCACGCCGAATGGACGTGAGATCGGTGCGACTTCATCGGAATCATCACTGAATGCTAATGCCATATTTGATACAGATTGAGTGATAGACTCAATTGTCATGCGTTCGTTATGAGTAAACCAATGATTTTGCGCTTCAACACGAGCTTTATCGATCAAGGTCTTAGCATCAGCGATCAAGCCAGACATTGCGCAACCACAACTGAAATACATCGAATGAGAAATGTTCGTATCATTATCTTTACTCACTGAGCATCAACTTCAACAATTTTTTCGATACTACGTGGCTCGATAAGAACTGATGTAATACGTTTTTCAGTCGCTAAGACCACACCTAAATCAAAAGTATGAGGTTATGCAAAGTTCAGAACCGTTCATGAAATCCGAACCTTCTGATGTCATGATTCCGATAGCTGTTGTGCCAAATTTGATTGCTTCAATCGCATATTCAACTTGAAAAAGACGACCTTCAGGCGAGAATGTGTTCACACCACGATCGTATTCACTTCTTGTCATAAACATCTTGGAACGTTTTTCTGCTCACTCGGGACGTTGAAAACACGTGTGAAACTGATCTAGAATACCAACAAAAACATATACCTTGTTTTATTTTTGATCTACAATCGACAAAAAAAAGAATCCATTTTTCTTCTTATAGATGATATATATATATATATGTAAATTATGTACAAACAGGAAAAAAAGACAAAAAGAACCGTAATGAATACACATGATAACAATGACAAAGATAATGTTGATGATCAGTTTGCTAAAAGAAAAGCAAAGACGGCTACGTAAAGAAAATCTCTTGTTCATCACTGATGAACTTTATTAGGTAATTTGGGTATCGGTGGTAGATTGATCCAATTGACGTTCACACTGGATATGCGCAAACGAAGTTTAGGTGCAAAGACACGCATATCGCCGAATTTCAATCCGTGTTGTTCTTCGAATTGAGAGATAATACGTGCGTACTTTTTCGATGGATCTTCTTGTTGCTGTTGGTGATGTTGAGAAGGTGGTCGACTACGAAAGATAATAGGCTTTTAGCAAAAGGAAATGATGAAGAAGAATATTTTACCCTCGTCGAGCAGGTACTCGTACTGTTTGATGAAATTCTTCATCTTGTTGTTGTTGTTGTTGTGAATCTTGATTGATATCGTACTCTTCATCATCTTCATATTTTCTATATCGATTTTGTTTTGCATATTGTGATTGTCGATTATTACTATTTACTGAATAATCATCATCATTCGGACGACTACGCTTTCTCATTTGTTGTTGCTCTTCTTCTTCGTCTTCGTTGTCATAGTATCGTTTGGAATTTTGATAGCCTGTAGAACGTTTATTAGGTTGAGCAATGGTTGTATTGCGGAATTGTAAACGATTTTCTTCATCGATTATCTCTTCGCCACCAGGACCTTCGATATGTTCGGTTGTTAAGCCCGCTTGCTTCTGAGAAGAAGAAATAACAACAGATAATGATCGAAATTGTATGCGAAAGTCTCTTTTACCTTTCCCGGTGAAACAATTTCGATTTGACTCTTTGTGGGTCCATCGATATTCATTATACTATTTGATGATGAATCAATGGTTGCATCTTGTAAGAGCATTTTTTTCGATTCAGGCAATTGTTCGTAGAAACTTGGCAGCATATTACCAATATAGGACGATTTAATCGTTCCTCCTGTCGGTTTTACAGGAGGTGCAGCTGGAGGAGGTAATAGTTTCGCTGGTGATGACATTGTTTTTGTACTTGCTGTTTGTACATTCATTTCTTCATCATTCTCTTCGTCATCGAGTTCTTGATCTTCGAGCATATCCATTTCGGTAACCGTCGGTGCAATATCATCATCGAGATCATCGTCAGCAATCGACGAACGAAGGTGACCAGCTCGAAAGCGTTGGACAGCAATCCGAGCAGCTGTACGTCGCGGCGGTTTATTCCGACGTTGAATTGGCTGATGAAGTTCACCTTCAAGACTATCGTCGTCTTCTTCATCTTCGTCAAAATCATCACCTGAATTAAAATCATTTGAATGACGAAATGTAACGCGTTTTGACGATGCACTAGGTGGATATTCTGAACGAGGATAAAGACGTGGTGGTGGAGGAATACTACGACGTATTTGATAATTATTACCACGTGTACCACTATACGATGCTGGAGCACCACGACGAGGAATCACCGTCGATGGTTGACGATAGGATGGAGTAGAAGATGGGGCAACTGGCCGATTAGTCATTCCGCCACGAGGCCGACGATCTTCTTCGAGTGACGGTCGATTCGTATATCCACCACGAATCTAGATACATAAAATAAATATGATTATTGCTGTCTGCAAAACGAACTTCATATTACATTAGGAGTTTTTACTCGACGATCGACATGTCCAATGGCTAATGGATATTTAACTGGTGTATCATCATCAGCAAAATTATAATGTCGATAATTATTGACTAGAGGTGAAGTTGAGTGCGAAGGCAAGACTGCAAGTGGAGGTCGTTCGCGTCCATTAGCTGTTCGACGTGTATTCATTCTCATAAAAACTTCGTACGGGTCATAATCATCATTATTTTGTTGACTTGTATTATTCAAATCCAATGCGTCAACTTCGAGACAAAGATCAACATTCAGACCAGCATATGGATCGTAGCCATCATCGGTTGTTGACATATATTCGAATGCTGCATAGGATGTAGATGTTGGTTCAACGTCACATTCAAAATTCGCTTCATCTTTCCGTTCTAGAACGGCTTTTAGCAATACAATTCGATTTGAGATCGTAAAATGCTTACCTCGAATTTCTGCATCGCGTTTTAATTTCCATCCGAGTAAAGTAAGACTTTCCGTGAGCGTAGGCTGATGAAGTCCAGTAGTCATCTAGAAAACAAAACACACAATTCAACTTTCTCTTTCGAAAAAGAGATAACAATGACAAATGATTGCTAGTTTTTTTTAATAAGTCAAAACTATTCATCGGTATTAACAGTTTTTTTATGGCGAGAGGTATTTTTCGATTTTTTCGATTCCATTTGGCCGAGTTTTTTGTAAACCACTTTCTTCAATTGTTTATGCTTTTGTAGTCGTTTTAACTCTTGAACCTTCTGTTGCTTTTGGTATTGAGCATTACGATCTGTTTGACTTTTTTGTTTCGCCTTCAAACGATCTTTATAGACCGTTGTAAACATTTTCATTATATCAGCGATCTAAACGAAAATTTTGTTGTTAACATGTCAAATTGCGATAGGATAAGGTGTACCTTTTTCTCCTGTGGTTCCAGAATGACGGCAACACGTTGTTTTTCTTCGACTGGATCTCTCACTGTTGCAGCTTCGGCCGGTTTTGGTTTTAGATGAAAAGGTAAGTCACGTTGAAGTTGTGTCGGAATTTGTAATGGACGAAATACTCGTTCTTTTCTTTCGATTGGTTTGTAAAGGGAATCAACATTCGGTTCGTTACGAATGTTCATATCACGTTTAAGTTGACCAAGTTGTCTAAAATCCAGTTTATGTTTTTCTCGATGAAAATCTCTGACAAATCTTACCGAAGTCCTTGCCATTGATCTTTTTGTTCTGGACTCATCAAGAGATTTGTTACAGGTGTATAAAATTTCGGTATTTGTAATGGTAACCATGCTCGTAGGAAGACAATATCTAAACGAGAGTAGAAACAAATCCATCTAAACAATATTTTCTCTTACCACTGAGGAGAATTTTATCTTCAAATGTAGCACGAAACGCGCCCGGATGTTCTTTGGAGATTTTCTTAATCTGTCCACGTATTCCACTGACGGTTCGAATTGATGCACCTTGAAATTTTGCTACTTCTAATGACGAATTGAACATTCCCTAAACCAAACATGGATTCATTTTTAATATTCGTCTGAAAAGATCTTACCTTAATAAACGCAGTTTTCTTAAATATTTTATACGGTGTACCAATAAGTTTTAATTTCTTCACGATTTTCGTAGATTTATCTAAATCAATAACTACACCTGTTGCTGTGACTCGAAAATCCGTCTAAATAAATAGCAGCCAATCATTGAACATTGAAATTGTACCAATGAACTTACGCGTCCAGCAGTTTGTTGAACAGCAATAAAACCTGTGTTTTGTGGAGTAATCGGTCCTAAAATTAATAAACAAACTCATTTATTCATGAATACAATACAAAATTCGTTTCCAACCATAGAATATCGCATGGCAATACATATGTTGCGGTGTATATTTCAACAGTCTATGTCTCATATTGTGATCTTGAATGAAATAATATGGAATTGTTTGAAATCGTCTCCAACCCAATGAAACGATCAATGGATCTTTGCTTTTCAAGATTTTCTTATGCCAACGATGTTTTTTCAAACGAACTTGAATGTAGCCTGTATGAGATTCTGTTACAGGCATTCCGCCAAGAATGGTTATGTATCGAGGATCGAAATTATTGACGAATTCACAAGGAAGTTGCGTTAATTCACAACGAACGTACATTCCAGGACGATAACCTTCGTAGAGAACACGAACATCATCAGGCATATTTTCGAATTCGGACCGATTCAACTAGACAAAGAATGGGATATTTTGAAAGAAAGTTTCACAAAGTGTGTGTCATACTTTCGTTTGTATTTCGACTTCTTTTTTTAGTTCATCGAGGTATTTCGAGTCGGGATCTTTCGACTGATCATATTCAGCATCGAATGTAGATTTTAATTTTGCTTTTTTAGATCGAAGTGTCGCTTCTTCGTCATCTTTACCATCGCCATCTTCATCTCCTTCATCATCGTCGTCATCTAAATAACTTCGTTGCGGAGCGATTCAATAGAAATCTAACATTCTTACCATCGAATTCCATTTCTTCGTTATCTTTTTCTTCACTCTTTTCACCTGTTTCAAGATCTTCAAAGTCACCAAATAGATCTTCTAAAAACAAACGTCTTCTTCGAATTCCTCACAAATCAAAGGAATAACAAACCATCATCATCGTTCATTTCATCATCTTCGGCAAGTAATTTCGCGGCATCTTTATCTTTCTCCCATTTTCCAGTTACAAAACAATCACGAATTAATTCACAAACCTACAAATGAAAACTTCATCATCATTCTTTTCCCTTCATTCGTAAATCTTACATCATCTAAATCCCAATTACGTTTTTCGCTTTGATTATCCAACGTATAATCTTCTTGATCGTTAACATTGATCTTCTTCTGACGAGACACACGAAATAAACCGCCAACTTCTCCATTATCATTATTTGAATTCAGATCTTCAACCGATGCATCTTCACCTCCTTTTTCTGCACATCAGATAAAAGCAAATTTTTTCTTTCGTGTAACATTGAATTGCTCGCTGCTTACCATAGACAAGTTTTGTCCAATTGATGGCTTTATTTGGTACATAACTAATTGCAAATTTCTTGGAAATATTTTCTTTCCATGACGAGCCTGAGAAACCAATACATGAGAACATAACTCGCAAATAAACAAATCATTTACCGAATTCTTCATGTTCAGATTCCTAAAAAATGAGCATAAGAGTAATTATTGGTTGCTATTTTTCCACTCTATACTGACCTCGTCATCATCATCATCATCATTTTCTTCTTCTTCTTCCTCATCTTCACCTTCGTCTTCCTCATCTTCGTCTTGGTCTTCTTCGTCATCTTCTTCAGGAACATCTTCATCTTCTGTTTCAAATCTCACTTTTCTTCGTTCTGGGACTTGTCTAGAAAACCGATATGAATACAACCGGTAACAAATTTCACCTACTCTTCTTCAGCTGTGATTGGTTCACTATCAGCAAACAACTTCAAGTGACTCGATGCCACCTTTTCTTCGATTGTTTGTTTTGTTGATAAAATGTTTGCTACATATTCATTGATTGGTCTTGTCTAAAACATCTTTCAATCATTTACACTCTTTTCTATTCAACTGAACTTTACTTTTTCGTTATTATTTGCTGCTCGATGTGAATGTGAACCACCTAATTCGATGTAAACAGCATCTTTATCATAAACAATTCCACCAACACCAGAAAATGGTGCGTAAAGAAGTCGTTCTTTTTCGTTCAAAACTCGTCGAGCTTGTTTAGTTTTTCCCGACCGATCGGCTGGCAGTGCGCACGGATCTGGCAAAGCTGATATATTGGTCAATTTATAATCTCCACAACCTAAAAGACAAAGCATCTTCACATTTCTAAAAGAAAAACTCAAATCCACATACCCGGAATATGAATCGGTGTATCAGATTTAATTGGACATCCGCGTACGTAACCATACAGACACACTGTACGATTGCACAAAGGATCCGTTCGAATCAGTTCGGGTTCTGTTAGATCTTCCATTCTAGAAATCGATGAATAGAAGGAAAAGACAGACATCAGAAGAAGAGTTTACCGATCGGCAACAACAAATGGATGTGACGTTTTCCATGTAGATGGTTTAAATTTCATTACAGAAATAAATCTTGCTAAATTCTGAACATCACGTTGGATATATTCGTTGTTTTTCATTCCAGACATGAGAAATAATTTCGCACCCTGAAATATTTTCAAATCAGTCCAAAATAAACATGAATGAAAAGTTTACATGATAAATTTCCGTCCAAAATCGGTGTTTCAACTGAGTTTTACGCTTATTCAATTGCTTATTCATTTTTTTATACAAATCCATATGAGTTAAAACACCCATAATTCTCGGCAAACCATAGATTTGTGCAATATTTAAAAATTCGAACGTTTCCATTTCAAAACCAAATTTTGCATCGATTAAAAGCAAGACCTATCCAAACACAAATCGATCATAATCGACACGAAAGAACATATCTTACTAGATCAGCTATTTTCGCAACGTCAATCATTGAATTAATATCATTTCGGCATTCAATAAACGTAATTCGACGTTTTCGCCCTGAAACAACTGTTACTGGTCCTCGAATATCAGTTAGTCGTTGTCTTGTAAAGTTCTTAATTAAACATTTCATTAATAAACTTTTGCCAACTTTCGCAGGTCCAACTAAGGCAACAACAACAGGCGGGGGTTCAAGCGGCGTTCGATCGACTTCGGGTAGATGTATTCGTTTCTCTTTGATATCCTGACTCCTATATATATATCAAATCGTTTTCGATTGACTGGAAACACAAATTTGTCGCATTACCGCCGAAATTCTTGTTGAGCTTTGATGGGATTTTGTATACTAAACGCTTTTGGGTTACGTCGTTTTGCTTCTTCTAGGGTTGTTGCTTTTTTTGACTCGGGATTTTCTTCATCTTGTTTCTTTTTCTTTCGTCGTTCAGCCTTCACGCCTGTTGTTTGCTTTCGAAATGCTTTGCGCTTTTCCTCCATCTGAAAGAAACATAAAAAGAAAATTAACAAGAATTATTCTGATTTTCGCATCGATTGAACTATAGAAGGGTCAAAAGGTTGTCCTTTGAACGGAGATCCTTCAGCATTCCACGCCTGTTTCATTATATCCTGGTATTTCTAAACAAGAACCAGCATTTCACGGTAAAATATCAACTTAGAAATTTCTTTTTCTACTTGTTCCTCTGACGTTGGTAAACCCATGGCTTTTTGTCTCTGATCATACATCATTTGATGAATTTTCATCTGTTCTTCTTGGTTTAAATCCTCCATTGATTTCTCAGGCAGAATATGTTTCAAGTTAATTTTCTTCTCATCGACCAAAAAGTTTTCCCACCAACGTTCCAGCGCTTTTTCCATCGAAATCTAATCGTCAAACGAAAGTTTACACATATATTTTGTAAAAAATTTCATTTACATGAATATGTTCACCGGGAACTAAACTCCATGTTGACTCTTCGGCACGTATTGGCCATGGTAAATCGCTATCGATGATTGTTCGAGTACCAGTCGGTTCGATTAAATCGATTTTAACGTGTTGCTTCGCCAAAGTAACTTTGACTTCTTTGCCTTTCTTAATCGTTTTCGGAATCTAAACATATCAGATCGATTCGATGAAAAGATCGATATCAAAAGTTGATTTTACTTTGACGCGAACATCGATATCGCCGATGGTTTGTGTCCAAGAATAGAGATCACGTTCAGCACCGTTATGTGTTTCCGGACGGGATTGAAAGCCTTTTTGTTCTCTTAATCGATAGATAACTTTGGGTAAAAGATCAGAATTTTTCCTTACAATGCTTCAGGAGTTTCGCTTTCACTAGGATTTTCACCAGAAGTTGAAGTCATGGTTGGAATGAAGATCGGTTTCTCTTGAAAACTTTTCGAAAATGGATGAAAATGATCGTATAATGGTGAGTCTTTGTTTATTGAATTCTTTACCCCATTTTGATTGATTATTCTCTGTCGACCAATCAAAATGTTTAAATGCGCCTCCTCAGTTCGATGGAAAGATTTGCTAATCGACATGAAACAACGCTCATTCAATATAAAATATCTGTAAAAATGTGTTCAAGAAAATCTTTACATAACGAATGTTATTATAGACTTATTGATACTACATCTATTGCATTAAAGATGTCGCTCTAGTTAAATAGGAACAGGGAAGAACGAAAACTTTGTGGAAAACTTACTGTAAATCAAAATTTGAAACAGTTTGATTAATGATTCAGGAATAAATTTGTTTTGGACACAAAAAATGCTCAAGAACGATAGAAGTGATTTTACCGTGGTTTTCAAGAATTCAGAGAATACAGACAGATAAATGGTACAAAAAAGACATTGTTTGGTTTGGAATCGAAGGAAAACTAGTTATCAATTTTGTTGAACAGTGAGCAACAAAACATATTTCGCTCTCGGTACTCAATGCGTAAAAATCAGGGTCACGACACGGTCACATCGTCTTTTTTCGTTCTTTTCACATATTACTAAACAACAAGCCGTGCATATACGCTTTCATTTGCTTATCAATACATATAGCTCATATGTTACCGGTAAGTGAAGTTCAACGAATATGTAAAATGCAAATATGCTTTTCTTCGCATCAACTCGTCTGTTAAATCAGTCGTAGATAATGACAAAATCAATGTGTATATTATAAATAACATTGGAAGTCGCCTCACGATGTAACATAGTCGTGTTTTCGTATTGAATACTTGAGCATTACGTTGAGGAAGTCATGATCGCTGTTCTTGTATGAGTATTTTTGCGTATAGTTAATGTGTAGTCGCCAAGATATATAATTTTTTTCGAGCGTAGTTTCAAATTGTAACACAATATCTTCTTATCCTCTCTCTTCTTGTTGTTTGCAAATACATAGTAGTTAAGTTGAACACAGGTAAGATATCGTTTTACGTTCTTTCTCTGCAGTGTACACATATAAATTATACATTCATAAAGAAATACGAAAGTCGAGTAAAACAACGAGAAAGAAACAATATACACCAGTAGTTTCATATTGCTGAACAGAATGAAAATATCCTGTACAGAATATAAACATTTGCTTTAGATCAATTAGTAAAGTGGCAACATCAGAATGGCTTCGAAAAACCCTCAGCTTGCTCTATTTAAATCTTTTGCTGATGCATATAAGAAAGGTCATCCTGGTATGACCAAATACGTAATTATAATCTTCAATATCTATGATCGTCTCACATAAAGAATTGTTTTTCATAGGCATGCCATTACAATACTGAACTTGAATGGAATAAGATAAAAAATAATGCGCAATTGGTTAAAGTTGAAATCGAAAAATATTTAGAACTTGCGAAGGAATCTGGAAGCCAAGAAACCGTCAAGGCAACGACGACTGATAATCCACCGAAGCCGGAAAAACCGGTTAGCACAACAACAGCAACAAACGAACGTAAACGAACATTATCATCTGATGATGAATATGAACCATATGAGCGAGAATTAGAAAACGATATTATCATACCTGTTGAACCAACATTTACGAAACGCGATTCGATGATGCTTTCCGAATTCAATGATCCCAGTAAACCGTGGGTTGCTCGTTCGCTTGCGAGAGCACATGCGCGAGCTGAAGCGCGTGTTGCTAAAATTCAAGCTCGACGTCTTGCAAGTGAAAGTCGAATCAAAACTCCCGTTCAGGAAGGAGTTATAAAAGAAATTAAGGAGATCTCCGAACGTATTGCTAGTTTGATTCAAGTGAAAAATATGGGTTTATCAACATCAGATTCAAATCAAACATTAAAGAAATTACTTCAACAGAAAAAGGAGCGCAAAGCTGAATTAAGTCGTCTACAATCGAAACAACGTTCATCTGCACGATATCGTCAACGGAAGAAACGCTATGTCGAGACACTGTGCGCTGCCGATCCAGAAGTTGCTTCCGAACTCTTAGCACTTTACAAACCTGCGACAATTCGTGTACAAATTGATAACATTTGTCCAGATTTAATCCAAACAATGGAAGAAATTGCTCGAATTGGTGGAGCAACCGAAGTCAATCCTCGATTGTTGAATCCTACACCGTGCGCATCACTAGATGACCTACGGCTTAAAGTTAAAGAACGCGGTTTTGAAATTCGACGCTCATCAACTTATTATCGGTAAAGGAGACAACAAACATGAATGATTTTTTTTTCTAAATTTCAATTTGTCGTTAGATTAATACCAGCAGGAATTTTCAGTGAAGATGGGAAAAAACGAGTGAATACAGAACCTGTTCGTCTTCGAAAATATCAAGAAGTCGAACAAGTAAAACACGAAGGTAATACAAATTGACCACATTTGCAATATCACACTAAACGATAAGCTGATTATTTAGATTGTCATTTCGTTAATGCAACTTTACAACATATTAAAGATTTAGCTGGAACATTTGGCAATGAATGTGTCTTTTACTTGATTCAAGATCGAAAAGCTTCTGTTCGAATTGGTCGACCATCAGCTAGAGGACGTTCACCGTTCATAATGCATTTAGATTATCAAATAAGTACAACAAATCCAACATCGATAACATCGAGCATTCCTTATCAATTAAAACCCACGTATGTTTCGTTGCTGTCGATTGGAAACTCGCCTTTCATCAATTCATTTCTAGAGTTTATGCATCATGTTTTATTGATGATACTGGTGTCCTTAACTATGCAGGTCCAACGTATATCTCAATTCGATCAGCAAAATATGATCGATTTACTTCCGACAGCGAAGATGTCGATTTTGATTGCATAGTTAAATTAAAAGAATTTGAAAGAACTGCTCGAAATCATATTGGAACGATAAAACCAATTATTATCATGGGTGTAGATAGCCTGGAACCTACGGATTACACACGGTTGCCGTCGACACTGACTTCAGCAATAAATAAATTCAAAAAATATAATCTCGATGCTTTGTTCATTGTGGCGCAAGCACCGGGCCAAAGAACATTCAACGTTGTCGAACGGCGTTTAGCATCTTTGTCACAAGATTTAACTGGTTTAGTTTTACCTCATGATTATTTTGGTACACATCTGAATGTGAGTGGTGTGACTATCAATAGTGAGTTAGAGAAAAACAACTTGAAAAGAGCCGGTGACGTTCTCGGAGAAGTTTGGAATATGGATATGATTGATCAGTATCCTGTTTACGCAGAATATGTTGAACCAACAGAAACTATTGATGATACTATTCGATTAATTGATAGTCAATTTACGTTGGACACAATTGTTGATGAGTAAGTTAATTTCGAATTTAGTATATTGTTTGAAATCGTATTGTTATCATCGATAGTATTTGTGATGAAGAAGAAGAAACACCGCTTCATCTTCGTGTCACTCGCAACCGACCTGCTCCAACTCAACATTTAATTTCTGATATTCCAGTCAAACCCATTAATACTATTGATGAGTATGCTATTTCACTTTGAACGAATCCGTTTTCTGATGATAAACTGTTGTAGATATTGGTGTGCCACACATGTTTTTCAAAGTCAATATTCTATACAAATAATTCGTTGTACAAAACCGGAATGTTGTGGTCTATGGCGTTCAAATTATATTCAAGTATTTCCACATCGTTTTCTGCCACCGCCCGTTCCATTTGATCGTTCAACTGCTGGTGTTAGTTTAGCAGAACTCGAATCGTCGAATGCCGCCACAAATCTCATCTCACCTTATTATGGTACTTTATTTCAACGCATTCAATTTCATGGCATTGTCATGGAACGAACGAATAATTTGTTTTTGCCATTCGATTCGTATTGTCCATCTGTACAAACAAAACTTCATTCTCGTGTTTGTTCAATTTGTAAACAGTACGTACCGACAGCCACTCGTCTACGTAATCATTATCGTGTACATCAACAAAAATATACAGCGAATTGTATTGATTATAAATTTTACAAAGATGAAGAGTTAATCGATGAACCAGATCCAATCGAACCTTGTACAACTCTTCCGTGTCAACTTAATCCAAGTCTCCATGGTGTTTTTCTTTTCTCTGACATGGCTGAATGGTTGAAATCTGATTTCGAAGCCGATCCTGTTGTTGAATCCAAAGCGAAATCTTCAGCATCACTCGCAAACGCTATGGTTCGAAAAGAGAAACAATTACAAGAAGCAGCAGCGGCAGCTATCGGTATAAGTTCAAGTCAACTTGGGCAACTCAATACAGTTGAATCTGCTGCGACAATATCAGTGGACAATGCATTGACATCAACAAATGAACTCATTTCTGCGAACGACATCAAAATTGAAAACGAGCTCATTGATATCGTTGATGTTAGTATGGATAATACCAATGTTATCAATGCCATGGAACAATTAGCGGTTACGGATGATAGCAGTGATTTAGCTAATGCTGAAAACGAAAACTTATTGAGTCAATATGATGATCTCAGTGATCTTATTGATCAAATTTAATTTCCAGTTGTTTTAGTGTGAATGACTACTGTGTTACTTTTCCTTATACTACCGTAGAAATAATAAATAGTGAGAAAAATGTCTAAGACTCATCAAAACATGCACACTCTCTTCGTTGACATCGTTCGTATAGATCAGGTTGATAACATTTAAATAAAATTGTCCATGAACGTTCGATCGTATGGCCAAATATTGGATTATCTGGTGTTGATTTAAAAAACAACGAGCGAATATCACGATGAAGCCAATGCGAAGTATTTGCCTTCAAATATAGCTACATGCATCTATATTTAAAATAATTTCATCTTACTGTGATAAGCTCATAGAAGTATTTATAAATGTGTAACGGTCGTCTCTTTATTCGTTTATTACTTACAAGAAATTGACCACGAAATGCAACCTTAATATATACAAATTTTAGTTTATCAAGAACTTTTGCTCACTGGTAAAACTTACTGCCTGTCCTCCAGGTGGACATAAACTTTGTTCAAGCATTGACCAAATCTGTACTAATCTGGGAAAATTTCCTGTTCGATGTGTACCACAATCATATGTTGTTATCATGTTACTATTCACTAAGGGCATATAACCAACAGATGAATTGAATTGATATTCTAATCGATCAAAATACCAATTAGCTAAACCACTACCAGTAAGACCTTCAACACCTGCTTGAGAAAAGATTGTGTGATCAGCAAGAACATGATAATTTGTGACAATATGATAGAGATAAGTTGCACCCTCTCGACCTAAATTAGGTAGATATTGAATGATATCAGCATCGAGAAGAAGTTTTAAAACTTGATTATTTATTCGAGAATTTTTATTGTAAACAATAATACGTGGACGAAGTTTCTTTAAATTTGCAACATTTCGTAAATAACGAACATATTGAGCAACATAATCAGTACTTTCGGAATAATAACTAATTACAATATCGAATGGATTTGCTGCTGAAATCACATCATTGTAAGTATTATTTTCTTGAGGAGTTAGATATAAAAGTTTTGTATGTCTATTTGGATATTTAAATTCATAATGCCATTTATTAAGATAGAAAATAAGATTAATTAATAAAATAAACGAACAAGCAAAGATTAGAAAATGCTGTCTGGCGAGAAATTTAAATGCTGTGCGAATTGATTTACTTGTCATGATGGTTATTCGATAACAACGAATATAATAATACATGAGTTATGAAATTTCCATATATGACTTTCGTGCGTTCGCTAATGAACAACAAGCTAAAAGAAACAAAAAAGTCACGTGTAAAAGTATTCCACTAAATACGATGAATAGATTCACATAAATTTCCTTTGAACTGCTCTGGAATGTGAAGGAGAGTATTATTGAATGTAACCTATGAAGATACTTTATCATCGACCAGAATGAACTCAGCAGAAGATAGAATTTTTTGAGAAAAGGAAAGAAAAAGAGGTCTGACATAGAATTACGTTAGCGAAAAGAGTTCTTTTTCTTTTTTCACTTATATAAGCGAGGAAGAGATTTTTCTCATCCGTCGGGAAACATCGAAGAATGTACTTTTATCTCTGACAACGAGTTATACCCTGGGAATGCATTTTTTTCTAACAAAGGTGATTATCTATCTCATTCGTAAAGATTCACTACTAAAATTTACCAGAGAAACATGTTGAGAGGATGACTCTCATAAACAGTGAGAATAAATTTGCTTCGAATTCGTTTTTGCTAAAAAAATGATGAAAATTTGAAACGAGTATCCAACGATCATAAGACAATAGTACTACGTTGAAATCCTGTTCTAGAATCATCTGTTTAGAGCTATTACGTGCCTTACCGCATTCTACGTTCTTTTAATGAACTGTATTGTTTGATTAAAAGGGTATAGTAAAGAAACCATTCTCTCGCAAGTCGCGCCCAAAATATCCTTCACTTTGAAAAAATCTCTATATCGTTAAAAGAAAATTTTCCGAGCAACTTGTAGAACTTTTCATGCTGCGTCTTTTAGTATACCTTGCTCTTAAAATAGCCGATACAGAATGGAACCATTTTACTCAAGAAGTAATTGTTAGCTTTGAATGCTGGGTATTCCATTTCTGTCAAATTATATTCACATAGTTTTCTTTCGTCGGTTGCTGTGATGATGTGTTTCATTATCATTTCGGCGAGAATATGAGAGCGTATTTTTTGGTAAAAGAATCAACTCCATAAATGAAACATCAGTGCAGTTGTAGTCAAAATGCAGAGACCACCATTATAACTGGACTACCCATTACAATGAAAAAAATACAAAAGAACCTTTACTTATCTACTTTGATCATCATTTATAAGCTAAGCAAAAAGGATCTGATTGTTTTCAAAAACAACTATTACGCTGAAATCGTTAATCAAACAGTACAACATCATACAGGTCAACTTCAAAATTTCACGAGAAATAGAAGAAAAGATTTTTCAAGAATCATACGTTCTTTTCTTGTTCAGTCTATACAATCTTTTTCAAAATCAGAAATAAAAAAGGAACAATTATCCTATGTAGAATTGCTCAATATCTAATGAACTTGAATATTGATCTTTAGCTATATTCTCTTGTTTGGTCACAGTATGAACACGACTATTTCTTTTTCGCTAACGATAAGTACACCATGTGTACTTGATGGAAATATAGTTTCGTTCTGCTGCTTTCCGATACGACGTAAGAGAAACGATCGTCTTTTCTCTGAATATCACGAATGAATTTGATTTGTAATCGACATAGCAGATCAGTTATGACTTAGCAAGAAATGATTCCCGCATCGTTGTGATATACTATGTTGTTTATAAGAAGTACAATTACGCTTAGTGCAATCAACACAAAATTTTGCTGATTTGACTAAAGAAGTCTCAAAATATGTGAAACTGCATGGAAGTATAAGTGAATTCATTTTCAATCAATTAAAAGAGAAATAGGATATACAAATTGACGATTAACACTGACTTTTTCTCTTTGTTAAATCTTGATGTTGTCACTATGTCTCCTTGTTGATCATGTTTTCATCTTCGTTTCTTTTATAAGAGAAATCTGTACTTGGTATATTTGGATATTAAAGAAACGAAAACATTAAATTAGTTCAACATTATCGACTTAGTTTCGACATGCACGTTTGAACAAGATATAAATGTGAAAAGTTACTTTTTTTGCAGTTCTTGATATTTCACACTTCATTAACAAGTTGAGAAAAGAATTGATTAATATTTTAAACAATTTCTGAAGGCGATTATCAACCTGTTTTTCTTTGGTTTCTTATTGAGATTTTCCTAACAGATCATCTAAAGTTACCCAAAGTATAAAATGAATTTATCGATTTTCCATGATGACATATTACTACTTGGATATATTCTACTTATTTCATTGAAATATCAAAATCTTCTACTAGAACAGTCCCAATAATTAATGATAGAAACACAGCATATGAAATTCCATTCCATTAAATGGCTTATCTTTATGATAGATGACACGTTTCATCGGATGTTCATTCACATGTATGATTTGCATAATGTTTTTCTTTGTTTACAATATTGCGATGCATTAAACAAATCAATGAATTAAAATATATCGATTGTACAACACATATCTAGTAGAGGATCACCAACAGGACTTAACACTCTCACGCAATTTTCAATTAACATTATAGAAAAATATGATTTAGAATCGTTGAGTATTTGTATGACTTCATCGTGAAGAATTTTGAGAAAGAAATGATGAAAAAAGAAGAACACTTGCGGTAAGAGTACCGATTAACTTACAGAAAATTGTTGATAAAGTAAAAGTAAAATATTTTGCATAAAAACTTCGAATTACAGTCGAGTAAACCAGTGTATTTACAAATGGCAAGTAAAGTCATGCAACTTATGAAATAAGACTACTTTTCATTATCAATCGATGATTTGAACAGTCAGTTATAATTTGAATGTTATCCATCTTTTCTTAAAGCAGTGAAAGATGTCAAATGAAGTATTCTTGTTGATCAATGAATAAGATATTTTAACGAATAAGTCAATGTGGAGAGACGAAGCGAAATCTTAAGAAAAAGAAACAGAAGTGATGCTAAGTAACGATTTGATAGAAGAAAAGAAGTTTTTTGTTACGGTAGACCGTGTAAAATGACACAGCCGATTGAAAAAATAAACTTTCTTCCTCGCTATGGAAAAGAAGAAATATTTTTTAGAAAAGATTTTATTGAATTGCGATAAATGAGAAAATCCAAAAGTTTGTTTTAGTTTCAAATTCATTGAATAGAAAATTATCATAAGATCATATTTTGGTTTCTATGAAAACGATTTCTAAAAAAACTGATTAATTTCTCTTTTATTGTTGAATAATGATCGTAATTACTATAGACGATTAGAATGAAATAACAGAGATTGAAACAAAGAAAGTCTTCAAAGAAATGAACTGAATTGTATTCTCTTAGGAAAATCGATCTCTTATGGTTTGTCGGAGGATCCAATGATCGTGTAAAGCAGAAGTTAACTCAACTTTCACATTTATTTAAGAAACAGAATAGTTTTTGTTATTCAATAGATATACAAAACAGTCCTGTCTCCCCTGATTAAAGTTCGAAAAGACATGAGTTATCTAATCGGTATCAATTATCGCCTTGGTACACAATCTATTGACTAATTTCGTTCTTTTTTTCCTCACAATAAATCGAATCTCACAGAGATATTTTACAATCATTGTCGAACTAGAAGATATATTACACAGTTATTTCATATGGATGTTTGGATTTTGTTTTTATTGAGATTGGTGCATAGGAATCCAGTATAGTTTTCATATAGTTGGTAAAGTTCGATTGATTTATTGTGGATCTAATAGCACTTTCGATCTGATTATTGTATAATTTTACATTTTCACGGCAATATGGAAAACACGAGTGACCGAGAAACCCATATTCATAGGCAGCTTGATCGTTGACAGGAATTTGAATTCCGAGTGATCGAACTAATTCTCGTTCGATATAAATTACATCCCAAAAATCCACTTCAACAAGTATGTAATCAAACGAAAGAAGCAATTGTGAAAGTGCTGTTAAACTACATCCATAGAATGGACTATTGCTTGCCCATAGTTCAGGTTTCCAGTCATTTTTTACTTTTGGATTATAAATTGGTTTAAAAATGACGGGCGGGGGGAAAACCGGATTGAATTCGGTATGAATCAATTGAGGACGATAACCAGCTTGAAGAATACTCTCAAGTACTGAGCATTCGTACGAGTCGATGTCTACTTTGAGAATAGTGAATTGTTTTGAAATGTTGTATCTTTCAAATATATTTGGAATGATTGTTTCCGTCCAGACATAATCATGTGTAATACGAATATTCGTTCGATTTGGGTATCCAGAGAATAAGCTAGGATTAGGATTTGGATCAATAAGAAGCGCACCGAATGTCGAATTTGTACTCGTAAGAACAGGATAAGTAGGATCATAGCGACCGCCATAATTTGATGCAGCGCCAATATTGATGAGAAATGGATTTCTCGGAGCAAGACGTTGAACAAGATCAATTAATCGCCATGCATCAGACGAAAGTTTATGTGTAGGACAGGGACCACAAAATCCATGATCATGATTAACATAAGTTGGTCGTTTAATTCTTTGTTCTGGTGTATACCAAACGTGAACGGGTGTCCATAATGAATTGACTCGTTGATATTGAAAGAGAAAATATAGAAAAAAGATCGTTGCTACAAGAATACATATACATATCACGAATCTTTGACAAGTACGTATTGTTCGCTGTTCGTAATGTAAATGCATCTTGTTCTCGGTGACTGTTGTATACATTTGACTGTCAATTATTTCGATATAACTGGCTGCTTTATCGATTCTATTCAAGGAAAAGAAAAGCCATTAAGGATCATGACTTTACAGTCGCATTAGTGAATAGGAAAACAATAAACGTTGGGGACAAATATTTGCAATTATTGTATTTGATAGAGGACACTTGTTTCTGTAGAAGTTGAATTTTAACAACTGAATTGGGAAACACACAACATAACTGATTTGTACAGAAATAAAAAATGCAGAGACATGAATCAATGATATTACATATTCCAATAAAATTATTTACCTTAGTAAAAGTTGATTGTGGGAGATTTTAGATTTGAATAAGATCCATGATCTTCAGAATGAACTGAGAACTGATACATTCATCTCGTATTAAAATTCAAATATTTAAACTCAATTCTTCACAAATTGTAACACTTTCTTATGTGTTTTCAATTCCTCGAATGAGAGTAAGTGTGTCTTTTTACGGAAAGAAGTTATAAAACATGCAATTATTAATCGAATATCAATTCATAAAGTTATTTCTTTTTCATCGAACAGCTTTTACGTCTCAATCAATTCCACAACATCATTGAAACCATCTGTTAAGAGTAAAAGAAGCATATGTCAATCTCGTTCTACAAAACTTTACAAGTATATTTCATCCATTGACTTCACATTCTGACATAAAACATCCCATGAAATAAATCCGAGTCAAATTTCTACAGAACTTTATCCAAGATAAACAATCCCTCGATATCCTATTAATAAAACTCATTAAATATCTTCTGACATTTACTATCACCTAAACAAACTACACCAATTAACTGTCGATGCAAAAAACGATAAGCATTTCCATAACACATTTAGTTTCTATTAATCAACAATTGAAAACAACGTCATTTCTAATTGTCTTTTCAAAAAAGATAAATTTATATTTTTATTCCATCACCCATCATTCTTTCACATACATATCTATCTGACTTATCTGATGAAGAAGAAAAAACTAATAGAATAGTCATCAATCCATAACAAATGAAAAGAGAGAAAAAAAAAGAGAGAGAAACTAACTAAACGATACATGACACATATAAGAAAATGAATTGAGAAATTGTTTTCGTTGTGTATAAAACAGTTTACATGCGTTTGGAAAGAATGGAAAGTGAGTGAGCGTCGATACGAGCTTGTTCTTCGCGTAATTGATTTAATGTTTGATCAATTAAACGATTATCTTTTTTTCCGATTTGACTCTTTCGTTTGGGTTTGTTTTCCTTCATTCGATAACTTGACGTTCCATTTAATCGTTTTCGACCTTGACTTTGATTCAACTTAGACGAAGATAACGGTTCATCTTCGAAAACATCATCATCAAATATTGAATCATCTTCAAATAAAGATTCTACAAGACAAATTATCCTCTAAATTACAAATAAATTCCTGTCCTACCTGATGATGAATGCGATTGTTGATGTTTAATTTCTCCAATATCGAAGTTTAGATCAATTGCTGAATCATTTTTCAATCGTTTGCTTTCATTTGTCAAATCATTCAAAGTTCGTTTAAGATCTGTTGACATCTGGAATTTAATAAAAACATTACATATCTAGACAAGATGAAACACGGCTCCCCGATTGATTTATATATACGAACGAAAAAGAAGAAGAAAAAAAAAGAACCCGACTAGTTCTCCAACAAAATATCAACAGGTGTAGAAACGAAATGACACATTTAGAAAGAGAAGAAAAAGATTCACTAGAAATCAAATGACTAAATATAGAAGAAACGAAAGAAAAGATTATAGTTATGACTCATTGCCAATTCGATTATTCACGCGGATAGTTCGCTAAAGTTTATAAACGTAGTTGTCTTTTGTTTGTATCTGATGCAATACAAAAGAAACAGTAACCGAGTTGCTGAATTGACTAAACATTTAAATAGTTTTTGTTTGGAAATGTTAATGTTAGAGATGATGACGCTGAAATGAGATAAGAAAAACACGATGAAATACGATTTCTCCAGAAGAAGTTTCTGACCTGCCGAAGTTTTACCAAAAAAACCATTCTCTTTCGCATATTGCTCCCATTTGTCATCATCCTCCGGGATTGTCAACCAACGTTCACGATCACTTGTGTCTTCAAGTTTACGTAAATCACAATACAACTGATAATCCTACAGAGAAATATTAATGATTAGTTTTAAGAATAACAAAACGGAAGGGAAACGTCATGCACACACCTCAAAAAAAGCATGTTTGAGTGCACTTGCGGCTGCTAGTCGATGTCCAGCGTTTACTTGAAGCAAATGATGTGAAATAAGATCGATCGCTAAAATAATTCATCAATTTCCATGCAACAAAAATATAAAATGAAAAAATCCTTCACATGCAGCAAAGTAAATTAAATCAAATCTCGTGCAAAGTCAAACAAATTCGTCATGTCGAAAAAGAAATCTCCACCTGAAGCCATGGTTGAAGAAAAACTTTATTTATCATTAATCGTCTTTTACTATCCAATGCTAATAAGCCTTGGAGAAAACTTAAGGCTGTGAAAATCGAAAAGCTTTCATGTTGGATCATGATGAGATTAGAATATACCTTCATTTGATATGTCTTTCCATGGTGTGGCAGGAAACATAAAATTTGCATTGCGAATTTGCTAAAAATAAAATAGATTAGATCAGAATTCACGAAGAATATCCTTACATCTTCGATTTCTTCGTCTTCATTAAATGGAAATGTTCCACTTAATCTAAATATTCAATGAAAGATTTGTTGTGCAAAGATTGAACAAAACTTACGAAACATAGATAATCACACCACATGACCACATATCTAATGAACGATTATAACCTTTCTCCAATCGAATTTCAGGTTTCAATGCTTCTGGTGCTAAATACAAAAGAATAAAATTACATATTCACCCATGCGTCACTGTCTGGGAATTGATGACTAAAAAAAATATCTCCTACTAATATTTTCCTCGCCTCGACAATCATAACAAAATAGGTACATCCATTCAAATGCACAGCACATATCTGGTATCAATAATCTAATGTTATTTACCGGAAATCCTTCTTTTATTAAATATTTGATTCACAGATGTAACACAAGATTATTGTGTCAATTTAGAACTACTCAACGATACGCGAGTTCAATCGGTTGGTTAGGTTTTACTACCAACATGAAATTTGAGATGTTTCATCGTGTGTTTTAAGAACAAATCTTCCGTTAAAATGAGAAAATTCCTTACGTAAGTAAGCTGGTGTTCCAACAATCGATCGTCGAAACGATTTTTCACCAATAATTCTTGCAAAACCAAAATCACATAGTTTCGTTTGAGGAAAATCTTGTGCTTGTGCCAAAAGAACTATTGAAAAGAAAATCTAATGAAACATAATCAATGAAAACAATCAACAAACCATTTTCCGGCTTCAAATCACAATGTACAATTGATTTACTGTGTAAATATCTCAATGCTACAAGAACCTAAACGAGCATCATCAATGAATTGAAAGAAACGCAACTCTATCGAATTTGTTTACTTGATAAATTAAAAATTTCGTTTGTCGTTCATTTAAACGTTTTATTGGCTGCGATAAAATCATTTCCAACATGTCCGAATGCAATTTTTCCATAACAAGATAAAACTAAATGAGAAAAATATATTATTTTCTTCAAGGTAAAGAATCTTTCATTTACTTTGCCTGGTGTATCAAACATGGCATGTAATTTAATTACTCCAGGATGGGAAACCTCTTGTAAAATATCAACTTCGCGATGTATTTTCTCTTCCTGTTCACTAAATCGTGTCTTATCAATCACTTTAATCGCCACTTGCTCTTTTGTTTCCAACGAATAACCTCCATAAACAGTTCCGAACTGTCCACTGCCCAGAACTTCAATCGGATTGATTTTATACAGTTCATTGATGTCTCGAGTTTGAGCGCGAGATGAGACAATGGTAAACACGTTCTTCACTTCAGTTCCATCGTTATTATACGCTAGAAGTGCTTGTCGGATTTGTGTATAAGCATTTCGAGCATGTTGAGCTGAATGGGTTAGATCGTATTGCTTTAGAAAGAAAATAATTTGAAATTGAAAGAAAAACAGAAGAATAATCTTACTCGAGTTCTCGTTCGTTTACAACCACAATAATAAACATGTTGTTCAGTGCGAATTTCAAAATAGTGTTCTTTGTCATCATCGGTATTCAATTGCAAAAGAACATGTTCTAAAGCGATTTCACGAGAGAATTTGTTGGTTGTCTCATTTTGATACATTGTGATGTATCTAAAAAAGTGTATATCAACGAAATTTTCGACATTTTTCTACTTTGTCAATGAACATACGAAGCATCGACACGCCAATAATAACGTTTTTCTGTAGAAGAATCTTTGTCAAGCGTATGAATCATCCATCCTTCCCAGAAAAGAGCACCACCATCAGCTTTTTTAATACGTTTAATACTTTGAATAAGACGTTGTGCACGAATATTTGCATGACGAATAGAATCATTATCATCATCTTCATCTGGAGGACAATTAATGGGTGATGAGGAAAGATCTCGTAATCGAGTATTAACTGTTAAATCATCACCGGTGTCACGAGATGATTCATCATCATCTATTCAAAAAAATTCATCTTCTTTATACTTCTATTAAAATTTTACCTTGATTACTGTTTTGCATTGCCATTCCTCGACAATTTTTAGTTACTTTTGGAATACATTTTTTATGAACACTCATCTTACAATCTAAAATATAAAAGATACTTCATCTGCATATGACGATTTGTTCCGCTCGTCTACCTTTACACCGGTATCCTTGTTTAACGAGACCTTTGAGTAAACGTTTACAAATGTAACACTTTGTCGGAGAACGATAACTATGAACGTAAAAGCAATGTGGTAATTCAGTAGGTAATTCCGCACCGGTTAATGTTAAACGTTTTTTGACATCATTGGTAACCTGAAAACAATCAGAACAAAGATTTACATATTCGAACATAAATTCAGTCAGTT